GGACTCTTTTTCTAGGGGGGTGGGGGAAGTTTCAAAAAGATAGACAGATACTTGTATTGTAGAGATATTAAAACGTACGGAGAATGGGTTAAGCATTGGGATTAAAAAAATCTGTGGAGATCTAAAAATTTGGTGGAACAGGTTAAACCACCTCCTCCCATTCTGGACTTCCCATGTTCCTACTCATTTAGTGATTTTAGGGTGGGGTGAAAAGGTGAATGGAAATAATGGGAGTTCCCAATTGCTCTAGGATGCAGCTATTTAGATTCTTGTGGAGACCTGCCTTTCTGTTAAGGTTATGGATTTGACCTCAATTTCTCATATGGCTGCGTTGAGATGCATAGAATTATACAGCACATAAGGAGGCCATTTCGCCCATTGTTTTCTCTGCCGGCTCTTTGAAAAGAGCTATCCAATTCAATCCCACTCCCCCGCTCTCTCTCTCCCCATAGCCCTGCAAACTTGTCCTCCCCAAATAATTATCTACTTCTCTCTTAGAAGTTGTTCGATCGAATCGGCTTCCACCATCCTTTCAGGCAATACATTCCAGATCCAAACGACTCGCTGTGTGAAACAATTTCTCCTCACCTCCCGTTTCTTTTGACAACTGTTTTAAATCGGTGTCCTCGGGTTACCGAGCCACTCGCCAGTGGAAATAGCTTCTCCTTGTTCACCCTATCGAATCCCCTCATAATTTTGAAAACTTCTATTAACAACAACAAAATTACATTTATAGAGCGCCTTTCACGTCGGAAGGGCGTCCCAAAGCACTGAACAGTCAGATGTTGGGGCCCGAGCATGGGGGAGGGGTGGTGTAGGAGTGAGGGAAGGCAGAGAGGTGGGAGGGAGACCAAAGGCATAGTCGAAGAGAAGGTTCTTGAGACCGGCCTTGAAGGATGTAACAGCAACTTGGATTTATATAGTGCCCTCCAAGCCGGACGGCGTCTCAGATCGCTTTACAGTAACAGATCCTGGGACCGAGCCAGGGAGAGGGGGAGGAAGGTGACCAAAGGCACGGTCGAAAAGGTCTTCAGCAGAGACCTGAAAATGGGAAGGGAGGGAGTGAGACGAAGGGAGTGACGAAGGCAGTTCCAGAGCCTCGGGGTACAGTGGCTGAAGGCATGGCCGCCGAAGGTGGAGCAGAGGACTCGGAGAAGGCCAGACCCGGAGGAACGGAGGCAACAGGCACTGTTTTGAGGAGAGAGGTAGGGGGGTGCATAGGAGTGCAGGGACTTGAATACAAGGGTGAGGATCTTGAAATCAAGAAATGCAGGGGAGGAAGCGAGGCGAAAGGACCGTGGGATGGAGTTCCAGAGTGCGGGAGCAGAGGCTGAAAGCCTGGCCACCAATGGTAGGGCGGGTCGGGCAGGAAACATGGAGCAGGCTTAAATCTCCTCTTATCCTTCTCTGCTCCAAGGAGAATAATCCTAGCTTCTCTAGCCTCGCCTGATAATTGAAGTCCCTCATTCCTGGTACCATCCTGGTACCATTCTGGTAAATCTCCTTTGCATCCTCTCCAATGCCTTGACATCCTTCCTAAAGTGTGGTGCCCAGAACTGAACACGGTCTCTCGCTGAGGCCTAACCAGTGGTTTATAAAGGTTCATCATAACTTCCTGACTTTTGTGTTCTATGCCCCTATTTATAAAGCCTGGTATCCCGTATGCTTTTTTAACAGCTTTATCTACCTGTCCTGACACCTTCAAAGATTTACTTATATGAACCCCCAGACTCTGTTCCTTCACCCCCTTTAAGATTGTACATCAGCTTATATGGCCTCTCCGCAATTCTACCTCTCAAAATGCATTACTTTGCATTTCTCCACATTAAACTTCATCTGCCACCTATCTGCCCATTTTACCAGTCTGTCAATAGAGATTGAGAGAGTCTCCTGGGGCTGAGCTGGCTCCAAAGTGACATGCTTGGGAACAGGATTTCAGAATCAAGCCAACGCTCTGTGATGGGCTTGATAATTTGGTTCCTGAGCCATGTGGATCCATAGTACTCCAGGCCACCTTGATTACAGGCTGCACCCCACCCACCATCGGCAGTTGGGCCTTCAACCTCTCTGCTCCTACTCTCTGGAACTCCATACCACATTCCCTTCGTCTTGCTCCCTTGCCTCCTTCAAGGTCTCAAGACGCTCCTATTCGACCGTGGCTTCAGCCACATTCCTACCCTCCCTGATCCCAACCCCTCTGCTTGGGTCCAAATTTCTGACTGTCCAGCGCTTTGGGACGTCCTCCTGATGTGAAAGGCAGTATACAAATGTAATATTGTATTGTATTATATTACAGATCAAACAGCCAACTTAGCTCATCAGGACTTGAGTTTCTTTCCATTCAATTTTCAGAATTACCAGAATCTAACATAGACGATGGTCCTAGCTTAAAAAGCAGCAGAATGTTTGCCAGACTGTGCTTGTAGTGGCAAGGTTGTAGTTGGTTAATTTCCAGCAATTCCCCAATACCCACTTGGATTTCCAGCTTGGGCCTTATATTTTCAAGACTAACGTAAGCAGGATGTGTTCTTCTGCTCAATAGAGCAAGCACTTCCATTTCAGAGGTAGGGACATTTCCATACATGGGTGTCACACATATCTGGAAGACTTTTGTATGGTTATTACTTACCTGGGTGGATGGTGATGTATTTCCACATATGTGAGATACCTACCTGACCAAATAAAATTAGTTAAAATAAAAGTTATCAGTGCGAGAACAGTATATGTGCATATAGGAGAGCCAAACAGAGAAACAAAAGACAATGTCCCATGCTGCTGTGGCCAGGGGCAAAGTTTTGTTTGAAAAGGGTAGTGATTGACAGGTTTGAATAATGGAGCTGTGAGGAGTGTTTGGGATCCAGGGAGCATCTGTGTAGAACTTTCCACTCGCACATGGAGTGAGTTGGCTATTTCTTATATCCTAATGGACTCAATACCGTAGGTTTTCAGTAGGATATCCATCCTCATGGAACAGTCAATTGATCGGTATTCGGGGGAGACTGAGCAACAACAACTTGCATTTATATAGTGCCCTTCACACAGGGTAGCGTGTCAGAGCGCTTGAGAGTGGTAGAGTCTGATAACAAGCCAGGGGGAGAGCACAATCAAAAAGGAAAGTAAAGGAAACACCCCTTTACTTCCCCTGTGCATCACCGGCTCCTGGTATCCATGGAGCCACTGTTGGAAGGGCTCCATGGAGTTCTGTAGAGAATGTAAGATACAAACTGCAGGACACTTGGAGCATCACTACCATTCTCCAAACTGTGAATAAAGGTAGCTCTGGAATCACAATAACTTATCTTTTCCCAACAAAAATCAGTCACTACATATGATAGTAATTACTCTAAAGGCTTTGACACATGCTATAAAATAGGAAGTTTGTTATTTTCTTACTAAAACACCGACTGCAGCCCAAAAGGCTAAAGTATCTTCAGGGATAAAGAACTTCTGTAAGAGACCGAGTGTGTGGGAAAATACTCTAAAACAGATCTAAATGGACGGGGTCTAAACTGAGTTCGACTTGGACAAGACAAATACACCAGCCATCTCTAAAGATACGATGAAACCAATTAGAAAACATCACTTGGCAGACACTATATAAATGGCAATAAATGAGCATAGCAAAGTGCTTATCCAGCAAGCTCTATCCTGACCTCTGCAGCTTTGGTTCACAAGGTTGATACATCAATCTCTCAAAGTCTGAGTGGATTACTGCAGATATGCCCATCTTTGTCAGGTATGTCTCCTCAGAACCAGTTCAACTCTAAAGCAGGATACTATTAAGCATTGTACTGATTTTAAATGGTCTTGAAAGAGTGATGGGTTCAGTGGGCTCAGTCATAGTCATCTGAACCCAGAACCTTTAAACCCCATGATCCCCGAACATGATCTCACTCATACACAGTCACACACAATCTGATGAGGAAGCAGCAGTCGCGTGATGGTACCAAACAATGGACTTCAAAGCAATAAAGCAGAGAAAAAATGTCTTCAGTGAATGCCAATGGACAACAAACCACGGCTACCAGGATCTAAAGTAAACTACACCCACATCCCCGCACACATCCTATAGCACTGTTCAACCACTTGGAATGTTTATTGGGATACGCCTAGGTTCAAAGGAAATTAAAACGTCTAAAAATTAACTATACTGGTGCAGGGTATTAAATAGATACTTCCTGTCAACAATAATCCTTGCATTTGATACAGCGCCTTATCATTGTATCAAATACATGACTATTTTGTGGGATAAACGCGGCAGCCAATTGCACCCAGCAGTGTCCCACAAACAGTCGTAGATTGAGTGACCAAATTATTTTAAATTTTTTTATTTTGAAGGGATCATTACACCCAGAAAAGCAATCTGCCAATCAACTAAACAGAGGTGTGGGAAGTAAAAAAAAAACTTGCCTAAGATTTTGACCTGGGGAATTGAACCCAGGTCCTCTGGGTTGCGAGTCAAGTGCTCTAACGAATACACTATAGAACTACAATAAAATCATCACCTAGAACTCAGTGACATTCTCCCACCCACTAATTCTCTATTACCACAGGCCAAGGAAGGAAGCATACCAAGATCAAAGTTACACCAATCCCTACGCATTGGTTCCTACGCATTCATTTTGTAATTGTAAAAGACCGTCACAAATAAATACACAGAGAGGGCTCTCGTCAGGACAATGATTTTTTTTAAACAAAAGTTGACCAGTTTATGTTTATGACCAGAACATATTTCTTTGCAAATCATTCGCAGAATCTTCAATGAATAGCTTGAAAATGACAATGTCCCACATTTGGTATTTGATGCAAAAATGAATTGTAACATTGGAATTTTTTTTAAAAAAAGTTACAGAACCTGGATTGCTAGAGTTTTTCTTTCTTTTCCTCAGGTCTGTCACCCCAATGACAAACAAAATAACCTGAAACGGAACCAACCTCCACTTTCAATACTGCCAAACACGGTCCAATTGTAAAGCCCACAGAGCTCAAACAAATATGAATTGTTGCTGATGGAGAGTTTATTAATCTTCCCCTACAAAGAAATAGGCTTCAAATGCAGAAACCACATCTAGGCTCTACCATTACATATACAAATACATACATAAATATATTACATACGACAGCAAATCAAAAGCGGGCCACTGTCACATTTAAGATGTGTTAATTTTTTCCCCCCACACAGACATTTGGCTGACCACGGTTATCCTTTTTTCTTCTTGTTACTAACAGTGGGTCCCAAAATTGTTTAATTCCCCCAGTAAGGAGAGCTGCCATAGTTGGGTTTGTTAGCCTGAGACTTCTGCTGTATGCTGCTCTGCTGATTACGCTGTCCAGAACCGCCCTGAAAATCAAAGGGCACCAGTTAGCAACCGAGAATGCGACAACGTGAAAAACAAAAATGATGCTTTGACCCCTTTGGAATATATTAATAACCCTTGCATTTAATATTGCGCCTTAACACGCCGTTGAGACGTCTCAAAGCGATATGCTCTAAAGCGAATCGACTGTATATTTTGTGGTTGAAACTTGGCAGCCAATTGTGCACAACAGTGTCCCACAAAGGGTCGTGGATTGAGGGACCAAATTATTATTATTATTACTCTATTGTTTTTGGAGGAGTTCCTACTTAGGTAAACATGATTGGACTAAATTAAGACGTTGTCCGGTTTCTCAGATTTTTTTTTGCAATGGTTAGTGGATAGTATTTACCTGTCCATCCTGCTGCAGGTGATGATGCAGCAGCTGAGAGTGAGGTTGCTGGTGAGCTGGCACAATGTGTAAGAAAGGTGCTGGGGCGTAGCCTGGGGCAGCAGCGGGGTTCAGAGGGCCTGTGCCGGCCAATGCCGAAGGCAGGTTAAACGCAGCCGGTGTCCCAGCATGAAATCCCTGCTTGTCAAAGGACTGTGGAGACAGAGAGCAAATAAAGAGTGATGCACTTTACACACATCGATAATGGTTCAGAAAAAGGCAATTTGCATTGATCTTTGTATTTAGTCTTAGATTCTGTAGCGATAAGACTATTCCATACCGACCTGTCCGCTTCCCTCACTCAGCAGGCTCTGGCCTGCTCCATGGCCCCCTGCCCTGCATGCCCCACCATAGGTGGTCAGGCTTTCAGCCTCTCTGCCCCTGCCCTTTGGAACTCCATCCCACAGTGCCTTTGCTTCACACCCTCCATTGCCTTCTTCAAATCCCATCTCAAGATCCTTCTCTTTGACTGCACCTTCAGTCATCCTCCTACTCCCAACCCGAACTCGGGTCCAAATCCTTGACTGTGCAGCGCCTTGGGATGTCCTCCCGTCATAAAAGGCACTATGAAAACGTAATTTGTTGTTTCTAACGATTACAGAAATGTACACAACTACAAGCAACTTGATGTACCTTCTTTATTTTCTTCATTATTAACCATAGTAAATCTAGGTTGATAAAACTTGATATAATCTTTTCTTTTTTTAAAAATATATTTATGTCAAATGATTGCACAATAAAACCATGTGACTTATCCCTCTCAACATCACTGACAGATTTACTTGCATGAATTTAAATTCAAAATCCATTCACCTGAGCCTTGTTGTAGACTGAGCCAGTGATATCAGGTACACCAGCGTTTGTGGAGGTGACCGAGACACCTGAAATATAAAAGACGGATTAAATCACTGCAGTGATGAAAAAAACATTAATCAATGATACCTAAAAATCAGGGCAAGGAGACAAGAATGGGATTTTTTTGAGCATTTCTATTTCGGTATTTTTATGCCAGGACAATTCTTCTCTCACCGACCCCCCCAACCCCCTCCACAGCACCACCACCCTCTGCATTGTGATCCCTCACTTACTATAGTTCCATTAAAATGCAGATTAAATGGGAGCTGCCAACATTCTTATATAAATCTATAATCTATGAACAGGGTCTCCACAACCTCACTTGAGGAAGCGGTGGCAAGGCAGCATTTATTCCATTCCAGGATCGAGTTACACACCATGACTGCTAGATCCTGGTGAGAATGCCCCACTCCATTTATTGGCTAGTGAATGGTATGGGAAAAATGGAGGTGTAAGAGAATAAATTTCAGTGCCATAAATCTTTGTTTGTATTTTAATGGTCTCTTTACTCCCCTCCCACCCCACCTTACTGTTTGAAATCAGCAAAAGTCTCAAAGGGACGTATTAAAATGACCACCACTAATGAGAACAGAGACCAAGGGGAGACATTCTCACACCCACAAGCTTTGAGTAGATGGAGAGCTATTAGGAACAGTATATTAGGCAGCTGCTCCCTCCTTAGGCTAAACAGGCCAAGAGAAATTGTAGCTCCCATCCTTATTGGCAACTCCCAAGTGAGATTAGCTAACTCAGCACAAAACTGAACCTTGTTGCTCAGTGATAAACACACAATACACTTACCATAGACCCATCAGAGGGTGGGGCAGGGGAAAAGGAAGAAATACGTGTAAATATATTCCTTTTCTTAACAGCTTTCACAGCAGCAAGCAATGATATTGGAAGACACAAGGCAAGCCAGTATTACAATATCCTGGGAACAATAATGTTTTACACTACAGTTTTCTAGACTGTTTAGATTTAGATCAATAGAATAACAATTTAAGATCTTAAAAAAAGTGATTTTACAAACATTCTTACAGCACACCCTTTAAATATCTAGCTAATCTATAATAATCCTTGCATTTGACATAGCGCCTTATCACGTCTCCGAGACGTCTCAAAGCGCTTCAGAGAATATACCATAAAAGTGGATTGACCATATATCTTGTGGGTGAAACGCGGCGGCCAATTGCGCACAACAGTGTCCCACAAACAATTGTGGATTGAGTGACCAAATTATTGTTATCATTTATTTAAAGTGATTATTACCCCCAATGCAAAATCTGCTGTTCAAAACACGGTTTAATGATCATTTAGATTTCTCAAGTCATCTCCCCTCGCCTCAAAAGAATGGGTGGCACCAGGTCGTTCCTGATCCAGAAGGAGCCTGAACAGCACAGGTGCAGAAGCCTTACCTTTCCCTGGCCCAGCTGATTTGGTTTGTGCTTGAGTAGACCCACTATAGCCACCTTTGCTGTAATCACCAGCTCCACCTCCTTGGTTTAAATCATCATAACCTGCCGATCAAAAACAGAGGCAAGCCCTTCATCTTTACTGCAGCACGCTGTTCTTTCTCTCTCTCTTCCCCACCCACTAGTTCTGAAGGCAAACTGAATTCCATGAACACTAACAACTTTCCGGTACCTTGTCATGAGCCTGGACAAAGGGGGCGCGGGGGTCAGCAGGCTGTTTGACGACTGACCAACGAATTATCCCAGCTGAGTATAAACTAATCTTCACTTGACATGTACTTTCCAACAGAGAGGGTGGGGATGTCACTAGAAATTAATCAATGCAGGAACCAGTCCACTGACTGACTTCGTTTCTGCCCAAAGGATCTGATCAATTTCCTTTCCTAGCTCAGGGTAATATGGTCAGGAGTAACAAACTTTCGCTACGAGTGATCAGCTAACTGAGCTCAGACAAGCAACTGAATCTAGGCTTTTGCTAATCCTAATCTTGACAGTTCATTTACCCATTGAGCTGTCCACACTCTGAGATGGGAGGAGATGAAACCTCTTTAGACCCTCGTTTTACAGCTATGCAATTAGACAATTCAAGGAATATTAACAGTCCAGATCTGTTTACTCTGACATTACCTCCTAGTCATTAGGCCATCATTAAGCAGAAAAAGGAAAAGTGGGAAATGAAACAATTTCCCTACTATCAATTAAAAAGGCATCAGTACAATAATTCTACATGGCTTCTGCAGATTTCTATAATATGTTTGGAGAAATAGAAGAGGTGTACACAGGCAATATTTACCCACATCTAAGCTAACTGAACAAAGCTATCACATCCAGACAGACAAGCTTATCAAGGTGTAAACCAACATTTCTGAACAGACTACACATTACTCTCGAATTCCAGACAGAAGCAATAACTTTATGGCTCTTTGCTGATTCGACAAGTTTTGAGATGTTACTCTGCGGAATTTAATACCTGTACCGTAGCCATGTTGTCCATAGCCACCGGCCTGCTGAAAGGGGGTTGAAGCTGTGTTCATGTTCACACCATGCTGCTTGGCAGATGCTGGAGGCACCTGTAGAAGGGAATTAAAGTTAGGTAAAACCTGTAGAAGGGAATTAAAGTTAGGTAAAACAGGACAATAATAATGATGATAATAATAATAATACTTTTTCATATAGCGCCAAAGGATGTTTAATAGAGCGGCAGAAAGTGCAGAAACAGTTTTTTTTGAATCATAGAAAATATTTAGCATATCTTCACTTACGATTATAGGCCCGAGTTTTCTCATGGCCTTAAGTTAGCCTCAGAACAATTGCCTTCAAATATACAATCATTCAGTCTTAATTTGGAAGCTAATTTACAAGTGTTTTTTGTACCACAACAAGTATTTATATAGCGTCTCAGAGCGCTTAAGCGTACTGTTGAAATTCAGCTTCCAAATTACGGCTACTATTTCTGCATCGAAGAATTTCCCCAAATTCGGCATGATTTAAAATGTTAAGAAAATGGTCTTAAAGACCGTGAAAGCATTTCCAGCCCCAGGCTTCCTGCGCACAGAGCTGCTTTCACAGAGACAGAGAACGCACAAACCAATCTTTAAGATTAAACTTAAATCTCTAAACAGACAATTCAATTGAAGATCTTGCAGAGGAAACGCGTCAGGGAAAAATGAGTCACACATGTGATCACATTTCTTTAAGCTGAAAGCATTTAACAAAATTAAAGCAAGATTTTAAACAAATTCTGCTGCATTGCCTTTGATTTCAACATGGAAGAAATTAGCTGATTTGGAACATTTAACTTAGTACAAGATAAATGAAAAAATCCTTAAATTTGGTGCAGCACCTTTCACAGCGAGAGGATAGCTCAAAAGTGCTTCACAGGGTTTACTGTTAAGTGTAGTGACTGTTTTGTGGCAGTCAATTTGCTCACAGCAATGTCCCACAAACAGCAATAAAGTGAATCACCAATTTTATTTGGGGAATTGTCAGCCAGGACACTGGTGAAAAACTCTTTTTTTCCCCAAAGACTTGAAGTGTCAGCCTCTAGATTGTAAGACTTCCATACGGGGCATGAACTCACAACCTTCTCACGAGGCGAGAGTGTGGCTTGACTGGTCCAAGCTGACAAATCTGAACAAGATATCTATATCAATACTGCAATCTCTACTGTGATGGATCATTCTTCTGAAGAAAGTACAAACTACTTACGAACATGGCAGGTCCATACTGGAATGTGCTGGGCACTCCAGGCACACCAGTGTAGTATGGTAATCCTGTGTAACTGTAGCCTGGTGGCAAAGCTGGGTTCAAGAAGGCCTGTTGTGTGGTGTGATGAGCCTGGGTCTGGTTTTGTTGAGGCTGGGCTAAGGTTGTAGCTGGAGCAGGTGAGGCAGTGTCACCCCGCCCAAACTTTGTTAGATCACCTGAAACAAAGATCATACATGGTTTAAAGTTCAACGCTACAGAGATCAGACTAATTCACAGCTGGAAGTTGTCTGAAGCTTTGTATTTGGTCAGTCGGGTGTCTAACAAATGTTGACAAGTGAAATGTATTGTATTCATCTGCCCAGCACCTCACTTAAACTGCAGTGAAACAGCGTCGGGTTTGATAAAACACGGCCTTGATTTCATTAAGTCAAACAAATGATCAATAGTTTAAGAAAAGCTAGCAGGATTTGTTTTAACAAAAGCAATCTAACTCTGAAGTGACACCAGGTAAACAACAAATGAAAAATGAATCCTTTTGGGATCAAAGAGGTGCTTTCTGCAGAACTTTATGTTTTGAGAATTAGGTGCTAGAGTCCACGACTGGCTAGGTGGACCTGGTCTGCAGAAAGGCTTGTACAGGACACGCGGAAGACACTAGCTAGACGGGCCAAACTGCTTCAGTTCTTTTGAAGGCATATATTCACTTATATACAATAGGTTGACGCTTACAAATCTAGCATTCACACACCTGAGTAGGGGTTGTTTGCCAGACTCCCATCTCTGCCTGCGAGTGTTGCAGCTGGAGCAGGAAATGCCATTCCATAATAATCCTGAAAACATTGGGAGAAAGAAATCAGGTCAAGCTATGGATGTGCAGCTTTTGCGAGTTTGTGAGTCAATAATGATGTTAAACAGAAACCATTGAGTCTTCAAAATTAAGATTACACAGTCTGACTTTGTAAACCAGAAACAAATCGTTAGTGCAGTTTGAAGTTAGTTTAAAACTCATTCTTTAAAATGTAGAAATAATAGGCACTTAATATTGGATATCAGTCTGTGAACCATAAAAGCGACTGATAAAGTGAAATGATTAGTTAAGTTGTGATAAATGAGCTACAAGGGCTTCAGATCTAAGTATTGATTGAATGAAATCTGCCCTGGAAGAGCCCCACATGACGAGCAAACCCCCAATGAGAGGTTTGCAACACCAAGGCATCATATCCTGTGGCCCGCAGCAAGGCAGCAAAACATGGAAAGCAGTGGAAATGCAGCATAAGAAAATAAATCTGTGATTCAATGCATTGGTTGAATGAAAATGAACAGAAATGCAATTATATTGTAAGAACCATGCATACTGTTACTATGGGGGCGAAAGACAACGTGTACAATTAAGTTCTTAATTGCCAATCAAATCTGGAGACGAAAATTAGAAAACAGGTTTCTGAGGGCGTGGTAGACATCCACAGTAAGGCACACACTCTCTCTCTCTTTGATAGTTTAGTTGAAAATGCGCAAGAGTTTTAACATAAAAAAGTGGGCAACTTCATTCGTGTAAACATTACTGCCTTATCCAAATTAATAATAATTCTTGCATTTGATATAGCACCTTATCGAGACATCTCAAAGCGCTTCACAAGATATACTGTAAAGTGTTGTGGCCATAGATATTTTGTGGGAAAGTGCAGCAAGCACCCAATTTGTGTACAGCAATTTCCCACTAACAGGCATGGAGTGAGTGACCAATTTTATTTGGCAGATTGCTGGCCAGGATACTAGGAGAAATACCCTTTGTTTTTTTGAATAGTACTATGGAATCTTTAACATCCACCCGGACAGACAGGCAGGACAGTTGTTGCTTGTTTAATGGTGACATCATCCGCAGACATGGGTACATGCATATGTATGCAGATGACACCCAACTCTATCTATCTTTCTGCCTCCACCCTCAACTCCAGGACCACTGCTGTCCTGACATACTGCCTGTCAGATATCAAGTCCTGGATGAGGGCAAATTTCCTACAGTTGAATGTGAACAAGACTGAGGCCCTCCTGATTGGCTCGCGCCAGCGCCTCTGCAATTGAGGCTCTGGCAACATCAACCTCCATGCTTGCACACTACATCTCACCAAGCCAGTCAGGAACCCAGGTGTCTTGTTCGACCCTCAACTGTCTTTTCTCCCCCACTTTCAAGTCATGACCCGCTCTGCCTTCCCTCACCTCCGTAACATCACCCGACTCCGCCACTACCTCACCCCTCAGGTCCCTGAAACTCTTGTTCATGCCTTCATCACCTCCAGGCTCGACTATGCAAACCCCCTGCTTGTCAGCCTTCCCAACTCCTCCCTCCACAGGCTGCAGATAATCCAGAACTCGGCAGCCCCGTCCTCTCCCTCACCAAACTCCGTGACCCCATCTCCCCTGACTCCACTGGCTCCCTATCCTTCAGAGGATCCAGTTCAAGATCCTGGTCCTCACATACAAAGCCCTCCATGGCCTCGCCCCACCCTACCTCTGCGACCTCCTAACCCCCTACCAACCCGCCCGTTCCCTCCACTCAGCCGGCTCTGGCTGCTCCACGTCCCCCGGCCCACCCACCCCACCAAAGGCGGGAGAGCCTTCAGCCACTCTATCCCCAACCTCTGGAATTATATCCCCCAGTCACTCCGCCTCACTCCCTCCTTAGCCACCTTCAAGTCCCGCCTCAAGACCCTCCTCTTCGACCATGCCATCGGCCACCCCTCTTCGCCTCCCCTCCCTTCCGCCCCCAACCCCAGCTCGAATATGAAATGCTGTACTCTGTCCAGCGCCTTGGGACGTCCTCACGACGTGAAAGGCGCTATACAAATGTAATCTTCTTGTTATTGTTAATGTCTCATCTGAAGGACGGCACCTCCAACAAAAGCAGCACATCTCCAGCACTGTACTGGAATGTCAGCCTAGACGTGAATTGCTTAATGAATGAAACATTCATAAGTGTACCTACCATAGGAAGTCTGGACTGAAGCATCTGGAGGTCATCATATCCGTAGATCTATTGAATAAGGAAAAAAGAAACCACATCACAATCCCTCCAAAGAGAGGCAGTTCAACCTCACTTTGTGGTCTCCTTAGTAACCAGTTACTATTCTGGCTATTTTTCAGTCTCTCTCTCCCCATTTGAAACAACTAATGAGGGCACCTGACTAATGAACAATAACAATTCATGCTTCGATAGGGGCTTTCAAGCAGAACATCTCAAAGCTCTTTACAGAGACAGAGTGGAGCTTGAGATGAGAGACAGATTTGGAAAATGGAGAGGGAGCGAGGTGGAGGGATTTGGGAGCTAGTCCTTAGTTTCATAGAGCTGGTCAGATTTGGTCAGTAACAGTTCTAAAGGTATTAAAGAGAGGTGATGGTTAAACAAAAGATGGAGATTTCGTACTCGCTTCTGGCGGTGGACTTAACCACTGAAAAGGCTGCACTACAATTTATCATCAATCCCTACAAGTTACACGCGTTTACTAAGTAAAGCAACACAAAGCTTATGAATGCCGACAAATTTAATCACACAATTTCCATCCACAAATTAGTGTTGATAACTTGACTGTGACTGAAGAAACGTCATCACCCTTACTGGGTATGCAGGCAGCAGTCCTCCTGGTCCAACAATGTACTGATTATGTAAGAGTGGGGGGACACCTTGAGGAAGATTTGGTGGAGCCTTTCCTGCAATGAGAAATGAGCTGCATTATTCAACGGTGTCTAAAACGCAAGTTGCTGTTTTCCCCCCCACACACACACCTCCCACCCGAACATTTCCTCAAAGTGCAAAAGATATTTATACACGGTTTAGTTTCTTTTGCAGAATTAATTTTGGTGCTCCAAGCATGATATGAATCATTCCTTTCTAAGCAGTGACTTGCTGCTTAGAAACAATTTCTGAACAACAACTGGTACAATTTAAATCCACAGCATCTGCTTACACACTAAGCCTATCCACAGCTGCCTCATTAGTTCAACCTAAAGATTTTTAATTATAGGTTTAAAAGTACCAATGAGCAATTATTATGAAATTTAACAAATGTAAATCACTTAAAATATTGCCTGTATTAAGGGGATTCTCCAACTGCAAGTTTGGTCAGATCAAAGTAACAACGTTATCATCTTTATCCAAATAATATAGTGAGGGTTGACTATACTTTTCCAAGTATTAAAGCATTTCATAAACTGGATTATCTTCATTTTCACAAAATCCTCCTTCTATAGACAATTAGAAAGGAGATGGTTTTCTACCTGAAGACACAAGAGGTGTTGCCCTTGTGGTAGCAGTTGGCACAGACACACTGGCCACACTCAGCCCGAGGCTGTTTGCAGTATGTAGACTGTTGGAGACATTAACTGACAATGTGGTCGCTGGAGTAGATGTCGAAGCGGTCGAGAAGGTTGGAGAAGTCTGCAAACTGCTGTCGACGCTTGTGTGCTGTCAGACAAAATCACAGGAGCAGGACAGCATTGCAGTGCTGAATTAGCGGTGACACAAACTCACTGAAAGCTTAATAGGCAAAGTGAAATAGCTAGCATGAAACATTGTAATCGTGGTGTGTCAACGTCATTAAAAAAAGGTATTTCAGCATGTATGCCTATAAGCCACGTTATGCATCAATACTTTTTTTAAGGTTATCAACAGTGAAATGTCGTGAGAGAAATCAATCATTAAACATCCTTATTCCAACAAAGAAAAATATAAGGTTGAAAATGATGTCCGAAGAGCACTTTTAATCAATGGCATAGTTTAGCTTGAAACATTAACGTACTTACTGCATGTGAAGTGCTTGAGGTTAGGGAGGAGGCAGAGGACAGGCTGCTGCTTTGATGATTGGACAAGGAACTAAACAAAAATTTGTTGCAAGACAAAATTGGTTAAAACTAAATCACAATAATCACCACTATTTATACGAGCGTTGAACAATGATGCAGTTTGATGCCATGCCAGGGAGAAAGGCTGGCTTCATTTCAACATTGGCAAGGAAGTCAATGTTATCAGCAAAACAAATTAAGTTGTTTAATTAGGATGTATCCCAGCGCCTTGGGACGTCCTCCCGATGTGAAAGGCGCTCTATAAATGGAATCTTGTTGTTGTTGCATCTTTTCTGGCAGATGTTATACAACTTTCATTTATTATTTAAAGTGTAAGGCACAGGCACAGGTCAGGCGGAAAGTTGTGCGGTGTCGTCTGAAAACTGGTAAAGAAAGGGCAAGGCAGAGAGATTGAGGCAGGCAGTTCTAGAGGTTTGCAAAGTAGTGGCTAATGAAGTGGTGGGGTCAGGATGCACAGGAGGTCTAACTTGGCAAAGAATATTTACACTTAGATTGTAAATTCACCTCATATGATACATAAGGAAGAAGGGAACAGGAAGAGTGGGGCTGGCTCATGTTAATAAACCCAATGACCTGTTTCCATGCCTGATCACTATAATAATCCTTGCATTTGATTATAGCACATCATCACAACTTTGAGATGTCTTAAAGCGCTTCACAGGTTATACTGTAAAGTAGATTGACTGTATTTTGTGGGCAAAACTACGTAGCTGTAATAAAACCAGCACCACAGAGGGCCTCAATATAGAAAACATCTTAAGCCATTTCATAAACCCTGATTTTTTCTTAAAAACAATTGAAAAACATTGCATTCTCTCTCTCCCAATAAACCATTTCCAGCCCCCCAAACAAATAATTGGGGGAAAAAAAAAGCCAGCCTTCTTTTAAGATCCGTCAATAACAGCTACTTGGAAGACTGAATGCAGAATGTTGCCCAGGGCAATGAATTTCTTATCCCTGGGGAGGCACTGAACCACTATTTATAATACTTCTCCAGCATATCCCGTTTTTTGCTCTCTCTCCTCCCCCAAAGACACCCCAGGCAAGTCCAGGAACATAAACTGCAAAAATAATGAGTGCGCTTTTATATGCAATGGTTAATCTATCCACTGTTTAGCTGCTTTCCCTCTATGCTCACTATGACTTTGTCTTCCCTACATTTATCTTTAAACTAATTAGTTATTAGCTGCATGGACTCTTGTTGTAAATGCTGAATCTTTCAGCATTGGCAAGGAAGTCAATGTTGCCAGCAAAACAAATTGTCTAATTAGAATATATCCTTTCTGACAGGACTAATGCAACTTTCATTGTTATTTAAAGTGTAAGGTTACATGGATTTGATCAACAAATAGGAAAATATGTCACACTCCCCTCCCCAATGCAAGCACTCAATTGCTATAATTATCTTTTACAAAATAAATATGCTGATGTTTTGCTCAATTTTGCCAATTAAAGTGTTTCTCAAAGAAAAACTAGTCTTTTAAAACTGTAATACTGTGCTTAACCTAGTTAACATATATGGTGCCATACTGACTGAAAATCTGATCGCACAAGGACAACCTTACTGACGGCAAACACATATGCAAGATCTGTATACATTTGTAAGTATTATTGCCTTCAAGTCGCTTCATAGTCTGGCTGAGAAGCAAGCAAGCAACATGAAGCAACAAGGATTTTGATAATGGTGATTAAGTGAGCTGTTAGGATCAAAGGTAGCCCGGGATGACTCCTCCACTCCTGCATAAGTGGTAAAAGTTTTAGCCCCAGTTTTAGCCCACAGGCTGGGCTGGATACTTGATCATTTGTGTCATTGTGGCAATTATTCATGTTTTGTCACCTTTTGGCTTACTGTGCCATTATTGCCATTTTAACAAGAGGCGACAGAATTCTACAGTAGGCTGTGTAGATTGGCTCAACTTGCACCACTTAGCAGTGCAAGGAGTTCTGCATACTCTAAAAGGAAAGTGAACAGGAGGTACAATTTTGAATATTTAGTACATCTTTCATTGGTTACGTACCTGCTGAGTTGTGAGAGAGCGCTGCTGGACAATTCATTGGTCTGATTCAAGCTGGACAAGCCAGCAGAGTGCTGGGACACTGAAGGCAGAAGTGAGGAAGCAGCAGACACACTACTGGACAATGAGGCCACGTTTGGTAAAGGTGGCGACTCAGATTTTATTGGTGGACATGTAGAAGCTGAAAAAAAGGTAACATTTCACAATGTTATACATACGTGCCTGGACTGGTGATAACTTCCACTGGAGCCATCTATTCAGATCACATTCCCTCCCCAGAACATGCAAGATTTTTCCCTCAATTATTTTTCTAACACTAATTAAACATATTGCTGATCTCTCCCTTTTTTCTTCTGATCCTAATCCTCAAATTTATACTCTCGTTACTACAGTAAGTCACAGTAAGATAACTGAGAGCTCTTCAACCTTGGAGAAATGGTGGATGCCCTCGAAAGACAATATTAAAATAAGCCCCAGAACTTGTCTTCACACAGAGGGCAGGATTGGTTACCAGGAAGGGTAGTAAAGGCCGAAACATTAGATATTTAAGAAACAGATGATATGGGAGGATTATAGGGAGAGTACTTTAGAAGGATGAGATCTAATGGACTGAAGGGGCTTGTTCATCAACAATTCTTGATATCTTTTCTTCCTTCCGGTGTCCCAATAAATTTATCTACCCGGCTTGAATTTCAATTACATGGCACAATCAAAGTATGTGTTTTTTGATGAACACATCTACTTACTTTCAAAAGTCTGTTGTGTCCTGTTGTGCCCATTGTAGCCATTCTGAAAACAAAATATACATTTAAAACCGCACAGGTTAAAGATCCCAGCTCTCTTCCAACAATTAAGGCGGCTTAATTATTCCAATGACTTATTTCATTTTCCCAGACCTCAGAATTAAGCTATAAATTTAGTGGCAAATTAGTTTTCAGCTTCAGTCAAAGACCCTGCCCACGCTAATTGCAAGAAAGACTAATTCAATTTGTGAGGATTTTATATTTAGCAAATGGTTACATAAAGGAAATACTGCAGAGCTGGAAAGCAAAATGACCAGCCACAAGTTAAAAGTAGGGTCCAATATTTGGAATTAATTGGTTTACTTGTGTTCAAATGTATACAAACTCCAGTACAACAACAACGTGGATTTATATAGCGCCCTCCACGCCGGACGGCGTCTCAGAGCGCATCACAGTAACGGATCCCGGGACCAAGCCAGGGGGATGGGGAGGAAGGTCACCAAAGACGCGGTCGAAAAGAAAGGTCCTCAGCAGAGACCTGAAAATGGGAAGAGAGGAGGCGAGGAGAAGGGAGTGAGGAAGGGAATTCCAGAGCCTCAGGGCATAGTCGCTGAAGGCAAGGCCACCAAGGGTGGAGTGGAGGACTCGGGGGACAAGGAGGAAGCCAGACCCGGAGGAACGAAGACAATGAGCATTGTTTTGAGGAGAGAGGTCAGAGAGGTAGGGGGGTGCAGAGGAGTGGAGGGATTTGAAGACAAGGGTGAGGATCTTGAAGTCGATCCTCTCTGGAACAGGCAACCAGTGCAGTCTGGCAAGGATTGGGATGACCAGGGAGCGGAGTGAGAATGTGGTGCGGGTGAGAATGCGGGCGGCAGAGTTTTGAATAATCTGGATTATATGGATGGTAGTGGAGTGGAGGCCGGCGAGGAGGGCATTTGAATAGTCCAGCCGAAAGGTGACAAAGACATGGACCAGGGTTTCTGCGGCTTTCGGAGAGAGGTATTGGGCGATGGGCGATGTGTTGGAGGTGTAAGACAGTGATGCTGGTGAGGGACCAGATGTGGGGGAGGAAGGATAATTGGGCGTCGAACCTGACGCCTAAGTTGCGTATGGGTTCGGAGAGTTTTAGGGGGAGGTCAGGTAAGTGGAGGAGGTGAGAACCGTGAGATTCTAGACGTTGACGAGAGTCAAAGAGTATGGCTTCCGTCTTGGTAACGTTCAGCTGAAGGAAATTTGCACTCATCCAGCTCCTGAGATACGGGGGTCGCAAAGTGAGGTGGAAAAATAGAGTTGAGTGTCGTCTGCATACATGTGGAAATGCACCCCATGTCTGCGGATGACATCCCCAAGAGGGAGCATGTAGATCAGAAAGAGAAGGGGGCCAAGGATGGATCCTTGGGGTATCCTGCAGGTGACTGGGTGAGAGCGGGAGGAAAAGCCGTTTGTGCAGATGTACTTCTGGCGGTTTGTGAGGTTAGATTTGAACCAGGCGAGTTCGGTCCCACTGAGGTGGATGACGGAGGAAAGGCGGTGGAGGAGGATGGCGTGATCGACTGTGTCGAACGCGGCGGAGAAGTTCAGGAGGACAAGGAGAGAGACAGAGCCCTGGTCACTTCTATTGCCTTCTTCCAAATAATCCAGAGCCAAATGACCTCAGAAACCTCCATATGGAATATCATGGCACTGATATCTATGGAAGTCTGATGTTAAAAATTCCAGCAATGACACAGTGAAAGATAGGGGCTGAACCTCAATTCCTGTCAAATCTGACTTCAAGATGTGGGTTGCCAAATGGCAGCTGTTCTTGCATGTGGATTGCCAAGAGGGTCTAGGATTATGAAGACATAAGAAAACATCTGCTATTTTTTAAGCAATCGTCAATCTACAAATGAAAGATCTTTCGACCAATTTAATTGTCTATCAGTCCAACCAAGTCTGTACTTACAAAGCTTTACTTCCCCTTTACTTCCTGTTTTTTCATCCGTTCTGCCCCCACTACCTGGAACTCCCTCCAGAATTCCTCCTTTCTCCCACTTGCAAAGCCTGCCTCGACTTCAAAGCCTGCCTCAGACAGTGCTTTCAGTTTATCTTATGTCCCTCCGAAACACCAATTCCCCCCGACCCCAGTAAGGTTGCTAAGCGCGTGAGATACCCTCTCGACATGAACCGCAGTATATAAATGAAATGGTCTTGTAAGACCAATAAGACAAACTCAGTTTGAAGTTTAAAGCGCTTACTTTCACAGTCACCTGTAAAGGTGGTTCCTTCTGAGGCGATGTAACCAAGGAGTTCTGGTAAGGTATTCTATGCACTGAATTCTGATCATATGTTGGGGTCACAGCAGTGCTCTGAGCAGTTGTCAAACTGGAGGAGCTGATCACAGAGGAAGAATGCGTCGATTCTTGAACTGTATTGGATATTGATAAAGACTGCGACAAAGAGTCACTGCAGATAAAAACAAAGATGGATTTCAAATAATTCACTCAGCCAATTTACAGAAGAATGCTTCTGGGTGTAATCACAACTTAGGCACGTTTGTTTTCTAAGCACAGATTTCTAAGCATTTCGCCCACAAAACATTACAGTCAATTAAGTTTACAGTATATTCTGTGAATCGCTTTGAGACATCTCAACGACGTGATAATCAAATATAAAATGCAAATGCATGAATTTTCCCAAACTATACTGGATACCTTTAACAGCCAACTATCTGCAGTAGAATTGAACCCCAAGCCCCTGGGAATAAGAAACATTTGTACTAAAGTGACAATCTACATTAAACAAAACATGCTTTAGATTTTCTTTTTGCTCCAACAATATTTTCTATTCCATTATTCAGTTGTTCTACACGACAGATTTTCCTGACCAGAAACAAGAACCTTAGAGGGTATGATTTCCAAGCAATTCTCCCTCAATTAAATAATTCAAAACAAAACAATTGTGTGTGTGGGAGAGAAATGAAGGACATATTTCATGAAAGTACATGCCGAACAAAATTTGTGTTGTGCAAAGATGCTCAATTTTAGAGTAAAATCCACAATGTGTCCTCATTAACAGTTGGGGTGCAGAGCAGTGTTATTTTCCCATTCAAACTGCACTTTTCTGACGCCTTTAAAACAGCGCTAATGTACAACTAGAAGATATTAGCATTAACAGGCTACACATTAAGTTCCGTGGAATCATCCTGGTGAATTTGACAGTAGGATGGAGAACCCGTTTCTTTAAGTGAATCATTCTTTAAGTTCCAGCAATTGCTGTTTCCAGCCATAAATATCAGTCCCTGGAGAGTCTGTGTAGCTCGAAGCAGTTCTTCTCATCAAGAGTTTTCTCTCAACTTAGAACAGAGGAGCCTCTTTACTCCAACTGAGACCTGGCCCCGAGAAGCCTTCGCAATGTAGGAAGTAACACCTCCGAACCAAGCTACTATTAATAACTGGTCCTCTGCACACATGGGACACCAGTTGAGAAGTTGCTCGGGATTCTGGGCTGGGGGGGAGGGGCGGAGAGAAAGAGGAAATATGCTGAGTTCAAACGAATTTACGAACATAACCCATTTTGAAAAGCATCTGCACAACTCATTCCAGTTTTTGAACTATCTCAAACAATTCAGTGCTACTATGAGGGAGATTGAAAAGGCTGAGACGCAGATTCTTGTGAGGCAACACGCAGGGTAAAAGACTTGGGCAGCTTGTGACGGTAACAGAGCATGCTTGGGTTCACATAATCTGCTTGTTATTGGTTGGGTTCAACCACTCTGTGCTCCAGCCTTAGGGAATTCCTCCCCATTGGGTGGTTGCTAGATGGCAGTAACTTGTTAATCTTGCTAACCAGGCTGTCACAGGGCACCTGGCATGCTAGGCTGAGATTGATTACCAGCTTCCCAATTGCTGGAAATCTATAGGGAAGTGGTACACTTCTCCCTGAATATTTGAGCACTACTGACAGGTGCAAAACACCTCCTGTAAACTGACATCAACTGTCAATGGTTGGCTGCTGGAACGTGAGGCACTGGGTTACGCTGCTGAGATCTGGAAAGAGCTGGACGAGGATGGTGCTTTCACTTTCCCCCTCTTTGAATGGTTTTGCAATTTATCAAGAAACTCAGAAAATGGACTGTCCACACAAAGGTGTTCAGATATGTGGGTGAATTTAAACATCATCGTTTCCTGTATACTCAATAGTGCTCAAATGCATCTAATTCACAATCCATTGAGAATAAAGTGGAGATCAGGAACTTATGCGAGAATTACAGGTACAAACTCATGTATTATGTAACACATGGGAAATTATTGAAACAATAATGCTTTAGGGTTCCCACTCTGGCACAAAAAGCTTGTTGATTTGGGTACTCGCCTCACAGAGTTTGAGAACAAATGGTTTTGCGTCTGGCTGATCGTCTCTTTGCCTCCGGTTCCAAAGTCAGGCAGCGAAGGCTCAGAGCCAAATTCCAAGGCTCCAAATTGGACATTCAATCCCGAGACATCCGCTGATCCGGGCATTTCAACAGCAGATGCAGGGATCTGAAAGGGAAATTGAAATCTATGAAGAATTTGTGGTGAAAACTGTCAAAGTAACCTCGGCAGAGATAAAAATACATCATTCAACAAGACAATTTGAATGGTTTTGCAATTTATCCAGGAAACTCAGCCAATGGGACTATCCACATAAAAGTGTTCAGATATGTGCTTGAATTAAACATCATTGTTTCCTGGATACTCAACAGTGATCAAATGCCAGTTTGAGCTCTATTTAAAATCACATTGGCAGGCTTTTGCAAGTTACAATACACTCTGGGTAGACAGCCTGTATTCTAAGCAAGCCAGACAGTGCTTTAGGAGCAACCATTACTTTTGTCATCTTTTAATTCTGCAATTCTTCTCATTGGTCCCCCTGTCCAAAGCAATTTTCGCTGGTTACTCTGTCCTAAACAGTTCCTCTGGAACTCAATCCCAGAGTCCCTCCGCCTTGCCTCCTCCAAGGCCCGTCTTAAGACCTTCCTCTTCGACCACGTCTTCGGTCATCTTCCCACCTCCTCCACCCATCTCACCCTCTAAACCCCTCGACTGCAGCCTGGAGCATGGGTGCAAGTACTTGACTGTCCAGAGACTTTGGATATCCTCCGTATGTGGAAGGCCTTGTTTTCCTCCGGCCAAGAGTGGACAGGTTTTACTGACTCCCTCCCAAGCCTTAACCAATAAAGCTTGAGCCAGCCAGGCAGATAATCTGTGCAGAAGCAGCTGATAAGATGAATCAAATTTCCCAACCAACAGAGTAACAAGCCACTTCTCTGCACCCCTGATCATTAGCTCATCATGTGAACCAAAACATTGCTCTTCTGCCCTGTGGTGCATCACAGCAATCAGCTGGCCCATCATTTAAACTCATTCATTACATCTGGAAAAACTGTCTAAAAATTATGATAAAATTCTGTAAGAATCCAGGTAAAATCAAACATTAAGTAAAACACAACTTACTTTAGAAGATGGAGGTATCTTCCGTTTTTGGGGTTTCACTTGTTTTTGCTGTGATTGTTGGACATTGGCCATCTGATTGTCTGCAGAGACCGGTGGCTGCTGAATCATTTTAGTAACAGTGCTCTCAACAGGAGAAGGGTCTTGCAGTTTGATTTGGGAGGAGAAGGAATCCAACACTGGCTGCACAGAGGCCTGCTGCTGTCTCTGGGTCAGTTGGCTCAGCACAGGCGATGGTTCAGGCTGTGTCTTGAAGTCTGCAGATTGGGAAAATATATGAAACTTTTTTTAGGAACGGGGAAGAAATAATAATGCTTGCATTTGATATAGTGCCTTATCGCGTAGTTGAGACGTCTCACATAATATTGTAAAGTGTAGTGACTGTATTTTGTGGGCAAAGCACAGCAATAGCGCGCAGCAGTGTCTCATAAATAGTTGTGGATTGAGTGACCAAATCATTATTTTTAGGGAGGGATTATTATCCCCAGAAAGCGATTCACCAATCGACTAACAACGGGGTTCCAATTTACTGTGAGGTAAACTGAGGCGTGTGGAGTAAGGAAATGTGTCTAAGGTTTTACACCGCCCTGGGAATCGAAATGAATAACAACATTTGGTTTGAGCGAAAATCTGAAAATTTTGTTCAAAGATTTATTTGCCCTCAAATACAAAGTCAATCTACTTTATGATATATTCTGTGAAGCACTTTGAGACTCCTCAACAATGTGACAAGGTGCCATAACAAATGCTAGTACTATTATTACCGCCTTTCCACTTCATCTTCATTTGTGTCTCTCACTCCCCAATTTAATTCGGTTTGGTAACTTCTTTCCCACCCTGTAGCTCATGGCACACAATTCATATCCGCCTAGTACACAACACTGATCCTTAAGAGTCATTTGAATTAAGTTGAAACCATTTTTGAAGTAGTTTATACAATTTGAAAAAATCTACAAGTTTACTTCCCTTACAAATAAGAGTGTTTTTCCAGCAATAACCAATCATATTACTATGGTCTGAACAGCTTCGTCAACACCACCCTTCAGCAAACTGTGACCACATTTGAGGAATAACATTTTGGTTTTGCTAAGACTATACTTGGCATTTTAGGTAATGATAGAGTGCTGTATCAAATGCAAAGATTCTTATTATTATTGAATTCAAAGAGTTAATGTGAAAAGGGATGTTCTACCTTGCACTAGAATCCGATTTTGTTTAAAAAATGGGGGCATATTAATATAGAAGTGGGTTATTCCGGTGCAATTATAACATATATTTTACGGACCACGATCAACACGTGAATAATACAACAACTTGCATTTATATAGTGCCCTTCACGTCGGGTAGCGTCAAGTAATTTTACTGATACTGACCAAACTGGCTTAGAACAGTTGACTGTAAAGTTGACTTAGTTTCCCAGGCAGGAGTGTTACTTTGTTGATTGTTCTGGGCAGCAAGCGGCACCAAACCAGAGGACTTCAACTGCTCCAGTAATTGGGACCCTGAAGAGTTGGCCATCTTTGTAGTTCCAAGTTCTCCAAACCCAGAACCAAGTACAGACGACTGCAAAAATATAGAAAACATGTAAGATTTCAAAACTGGAAAGCCAAATCAAAGCACTGAAGACTCGACTATCCTATTCAAAGATACTTAACAGTAAACCTGAAATACTGATTTTCCATTGCAATCACTCTACATGCACACATTACAGCTCAAGTTTTATTTATGAAAATATTTTGTCATGGAACATCTAATATTCACATAATAGATGTTCTACTAAAACAGTTCTTAACCAGTTTCTCCCGCAACGTTGCACATTTACTTCAATGCATCAATGTAGAACAGATAAGATAAGTAAACACTTTGCTCTTCATGGGAATTTGCACAAATCGCATTATAGAACAAAGATGCCCAAAATAAACATAGCACATTGAATTACTTAAGATTTTACACCAATACAGGTCACTAGTTCAGCTATTGCTGAGAAACAAACTTTCTAGGTCCTACTACGTGTTATCAGCACTGCCCTTTTACTGGCTAAAAGCACCTGTTTGTATAGGGCAACTGCATTATAGCGCGGTATTTTGAGTCCATAAAATTAGACTTTGTTCTATAATAATCTGAATAACGGGCCAGCTTCCTGGTTGTTAGGCTGTCTCTGATGTTACCTCCAGCTTCTGATGCAGACTGGCTGGCTGCCTGCATACGTGTGGAACCATCAAACCATCAGAATACATTTGTATAGCACCTTTCATGTCAGGAAAACATACCAAGGATCAGGAGGGTTGGAGGGCAGGGAGGGTTGGGGGCAACAACAACTTGGATTTATATAGCGCCCTCGATGCCGGATGGCGTCTCAGAGCGCTTCACAGTAACGGGTCCCGGGGCCGAGCCAGGCAGAGGGGGAGGAAGGTCACCAAAGGCACGGTTGAAAAGAAAGGTCTTCAGAGACCTGAAAATAGGAAGAGAGGAGGCGAGCTGATGGGAGTGAGGAAGGGAATTCCAGAGCCTGGGGGCATAGTGGCTGAAGGCAAGGCCGCCGAGGGTGGAGCGCAGGACTCGGGGGAGGCCAGACCGGAGGAACAAAGGCAACGGGTACTGTTTTGAGGAGAGAGGTCAGAGAGGTGGGGGGTGCAGAGGAATGGAGGGATTTGAATACAAGGGTGAGGACCTTGAAGTCGATCTTCTCTGGAACAGGCAGCCAGTGCAGTCTGGCAAGGACTGGGGTGATCAGGGAGCGGGTGACAATGCGGGCGGCAGAGTTTTGAATAATCTGGATTATATGAATGGTAGTGGAGTGCAGGCCGGCGAGGAGGGCGTTAAGAATAGTCCAGCCGAGAGGTGACAAAGGCATGGGCTAGGGTTTCAAAGGCTTTCGGAGAGAGGTATGGTATTGGCGGAGACGGGCAATGCGTCGGAGGTGCAAGAAGGTGATGCTGGTGAGGGACCGGATGTGGGGGAGGAAGGATAATTGGGGGTCGAACTGGACACCTAGGTTGCGTACAGGTTTGGAGAGTTTTAGGGGGAGGTCGAGTAGGTGGAGGAGGTGAGAGTTGGATGTCGTCCGCGTACATGTGGAAATGTCTGTGGATGACATCCCCAAGAGGGAACATGTAGATCAGAAAGAGGAGGGGGCCAAGGTTGGATCCTTGGGGTACCCAGCAGGTAACCAGGTGAGAGCAGGTGGAGAAGCCGTTTGTGCAGATGTACTGCTGGCGGTTTGTGAGGTACGACTCGAACCAGGCGAGTGCGGTCCCACTGAGGTGGATGACGGAGGAAAGGCGGTGGAGGGGGACGGCGTGATCGACTGTGTCGGCAAGTGGGTGACTGAAGGCATGGTCAAAGAGAAGGTTCTTGAGACATGCCTTAAATAAGGCAAGGGAGGGAGCAAGGCAAAGGGATTGTAATAGTAATCCTTGCATTTGATATAGTGCTTTTCATGTCTTCTAGACGTCGCAAAGCGCTTCACAGAATATACTGTAAAGTGAATTGACTGTAGATTTGTGGGCGAAACGCAGTAGCCAATTACGCACAGCAGTGTCCCACAAAGTCGTGGATTGATGTGACCATTCTTATTATTGTTTTTTTCTCTAGAGGGATTATTATCAGGTGTGTGGAGTAAGGAAACTTGCCCAAAGTTTCGCCCTGCTGGGAATCGCACCCAGGTCTCTCACTTGCGAGGCGAGTGCTCTAGCCACTGAGCTATAGGATTCCCGATTATATATGGAGTACACAGAATGCCAGCCAGTCTGCTCTGGGAGCAGGAAATGGCAACTGCGGATCCACAAGAGACAATGTTGTAAGCGAACTCACACTCTAACAGGGTGTTTAATGTGGTTGCCCCATACAAAAAAAATCAGATGCTAATTATTAACAGCTGAGAAAATGCACAGTAATCCAAAAATGCGCATACTAGCAAGTCACTAGAAATTTTGTTTCTCCCCAAAATGGTATTCCAAATGCACTTGGATTTGACATGTGTACCACAGAGAAATTTGAAAAAAATTTCTTCAACATCTGCCTCCACTGCCCCCCCACCAAAAGAAGTATAAATATCCTGCAAATCAGTAGCAGCCAAAGGGTCAACGATCGTTTTGTTCAGCTAAACATTTCACCAAAGGCTGGGTTTAGAAAACGGGGGAGACAAATGGGTATGGAATAAGAGTACCAAAATTTTAGGCTGCTTTCGATTGGGTCAAATGCACACAAACCCAATGAAGAGGTCAAGCCCATTGGGTTGGAGGGGGAAAATGAAAAGCTAGAGTATCCAGTAGAAAAGCTGAAACAAGTGTACTGTTGTGATACTGGATTGCATAGAGGAATATTTTCAAACAGAAGGCTTTTACAAGCTGAAATCTTAAGATATTTATACTGTAAAGATGATTGCTCAAACATTTCTTGAGAATACAAACATTAGCTCCATTGAAGATGCACCAAAGTTTCAACAAACTTATTCACACTCTTAACTGGACCACTGAAGACCGTTACGTAAAAGATAACTAAGCTTGCCGATGGCAGGGATTCGGAAATAGCTTTCAAAATGGATGCTGTTATACATTGTCACAGATGTTAAATGATCACACAATCCGATCTTTATTTACTAATCACCTAACGTACAAACAAAATCATTTGACATGTTTTCTAACTCTTCCTTCTTTCTCAGAACCTCAAACAACAAAAGCAAGCAAACAGTCAGAGCTGCTGTGTCTGTAGAGATTGCAGATAACCAGATGGCCAATTTACATAAATTTCCTGGAGACAGTGAGACAAACTTCTCCAGATGAAAATATCCTGATACAATGACCTCTATGCGCAGGCTGTTTCTATCAAATCAGGAATAAATAGAGGGGATTTGGAAGCCTTCAATCTAGAAGCGGAAAAACTGAAGCTCCTTATTTAAAGAAAAAACGAAAAGCTCATGAAGACTAAACTGAAAATCACCCGACCAAAAGAAACTTTGATCTGTGCAAATTTAAGCCCCTTGCATACTTTTTGGCCAAACGTATTGGCTGCCACCACAATAAGACTCTTCAGTGAAATCCCCATCCAGATCTTTGTTTTGCTGACATTTTAACAGCCCAATCTAACACCACCAACAAAATTACATTTGTAAAGCGCCTTACACGTCGGAAGCCGTCCCAAGGCACTGAACAGTCAGGGATCTGGACCCTAGCAAGGGGTTCAGGGTTGGGATGAGTGAGGTTAGAGGAAGTAGGAGGGTGGCTGAAGGCACGGTCAAAAAGGATGGTCTTGAGTCATGCCTTGAAAGAGGCAAGAGAGGGAGCAAGGTGAAGGGATTGTGGGATGGAATTCCAAAGAGTGGGGACAGAGAGGCTGAAAGCCCGGCAGCCGATGTTAGGGCGGGTTGGGAGGGAGACCTGGTGCAGGCTGGAGTCTGCTTATTCCATACAAGGAATGGAATTGAAGGTTCGGTGGCCTTTAACGCTCCGGGTAATAATAATAATAATACTTGCTTTGATATAGTGCCTTATCACGTCTTAAGACTCTCAAGGCATTTCTCAGACTATACTGTAGAGTGAGTAGACTATATATTTTGTGGGTGAAACGTATTTAAATAACTTGGAAGAGGGATGAAGTATGCCTTTTGGAGCCAAGAGGTGGAGGATTATTCAACCCTTTTTCTATGTAATATGCTCTGTGAGCATAACCCCTGCTTTATTGAGGACTTGGATAAGTCTTAACTATGGACTGTGAATAATCACCCCTTCTCAGCAGTTGAGGGTGAAGCCCTAATATTACAAGGGCCAGACAATTATCCTAAGGTTCTCTGCTGAGGGTGCAGCACCTGGCTTCAAGGAAGTGTCCGATAAGGACAATCTCTCCTCTGGTCCCAGGCCCACTTCAAGAAATCCTCTGATGGAGCAGTCCACTCTAAGATGGCTCTGGCTCAGGACAAAGTCATTGCTGCTATCCACCATTGGAAACTTAACATCACAGGATCAGCAACACTTGAATCCCACCAGCTTCTTAGACAGACTAGAAGAGAAAAACACAGATAAGAAATGTTTTTGTAACCACAGAACTATAAGCCTTTTTTTAAAAAAAATCTGTATCCAGAATGGAGGAAAGTAGGGAGCAGAATAAAGAGACAATAACACCAAGGAAACCGAGAGGAGAGAAAACAAAACAGAAGGCAGCACCTACTGAAGAGAGGGAAAGTATTCATTTGGTGGCACAGTTTGTAGATTCCACACAATGGGTACATGCTTCACTTTGAAAATGTCGCAATCGTGGAACACAGGTCAAAACCCAAGTACTGCAGAAGACCTGTTCTGAAGGAGAAACCAACTGTAATAGAACCTAGAGTCTAAAGGACTCTTATTTTTAAGAGGCTCTGATTTACAAAGGGGAACAAAAATAACTCATTACAAAACGTATAGTAACTTTTTTTTTGTTTACCAGACTTTGAGAGTAGGAATTCACAGCATTGGAGTTTCCTTCCACCGATGGAATTGGATCATCATGTCGGGAATTAGTGAACACCAGTGACTGAGTGAGGTTGGCCTGCTGAGGTGCTTCATACGAGTTGGTTTCTGTTACAGTACCAGTTGATGAGGGTTTTTGAAGCAATGTTGCTAGATCAATGCTTAAAAAAAGAAGTTATTTTCAGACCTTTTAACAGGTTCTGTAACCATCGCAACTGGTTTCAGGAAGCATTTGCAACAATTCAGAGCCCAATATTTAGGCGCTTTTTGTTTAGAAAGACAGCAATCAACTTTATAGACTTGAATTATCCACGCTTTGTGGCTCACCAAAAAGAATGTCAATTTCTCTCGAGATGAACAATTTTCCAATGAAATAAATTGTTCAGAAATTGTGACAAATTCACCTTCTCTAATTTATCAAGGACCATTTATAAAGCTCTCTTTCCTCACATGCTTTTAAACATTAAACACCCTGCGATATTAGGGGAAAGAGCACCCAAAGTATGAGCTTGGTTTCATTATTCAAGACCGGAAAAGACTGTAGGGTAACATCAAAACTGGTGTGGGACAAAGTAAATGTGATGATTCATCAACCTCACCGCATTAAATGAACTATCAAGAACTTTGAAAAGGGTCAAAGTCATTGGAAGTCATAGCAAGAGTCAAGAAGTCGTCTCCAAGGCACCTTTCTAGTAGCTGGATCTCAACAGCAGCGAAAGAGGCTTGGGACAAAGTATGCCATTGTGGCCATAAATATTGGGGGGGGGTGGAGGAAGAGAAATAGAAATAAGAGTCTCTCTCACCCTCAAATTAAAGAATTTCTAAGAAAGCCACTGTTCTTGTAATACCCTTTGAGGTTAAATGGGGAGAAATAAATTTGTGGAATAGGTTTAACTCATTAAAAGGTTGCAGAAAATGGCAAAAATGTAGGTAGCAAATGGGAAAGATGCATTCAACTTTAATGGATAAAATAAGACATCCCAAAGTTGGAAATATTGCTGTAAGATGCAGCGAAAACCTATTTTAAGATCATCCCATTTAGCATTCCATTTTTCTAAAAATCAGATGCTCTGAGAGAGTTCACTTTATCTTATGCGTTTTGGATGCTTCGATATGTTAAATAATATAACCCCCCCCCAAAAAAAAAGCGACTTCAGTTTTTTTTAAAATCTTGAACATTTTTGAATCCTTCGCAGATTGCTTAAAAGCAGAAGACAGGCAATAGGTTGAGCAGTCATCAATACTATTCCATATCCTATCCATCCAAGGTGCAAATGACAAGACCTTTCATTTAAAATTATTCACAATGGTTTCAGGTACACTATCAACTCCATAAACACTCACTACGCAGAAAAAAGTGGAAGAATGTGTTAAACTATTCCTAAATAATCCTCTTTTCTTCCAACATTTAGCAAATTGAGTTTAATTGCATATATTTTTTAAAAATAATTTGTAACTTAAATAATTTCCTCAACAAACATGTTTTTGACAAGAGAAATGTATATAACCAATTGAACTGATAAAGGAATATTGGGGTTTGTTTCAAACACCAGAATTCCTTCTTCAAAAGTTGATGGTTAATTTGGAAACTTTCCTCTTTACACTATTAGTCACATCAACAACAGTCAACCTAATTTAATAATAGAATACACCTGAAAAATCTGGATCTAGTTTTTCTAAAAAAGAAAGACAACGCCTTATACCTTTTTGAAATCCATACATTATACGTAATTATTAGCTACCAAGATCAGAAATAGGATGTTGAATATAGCTCAGGTCATACCTTTGCCCTGCAGTGATACGGTTGTCCATTCCTCCAATAGTGGAGGCAGTGAAGACCTTGGTTTCCGTCAGCTGCTTAAAAAATTAAATTCAACGATTGTTATGCACGTCTTCATTTTGTCAATGTGATATCTAACCAATAGCATAACAGTTTAAGATGACTAAGCCAGCAACAATCACTTCTTATCAACACACCAATGCATTATTTGCATGCAATATCTTTGCTATAAGAGCAAAGGCACCCTAGGATTATTGAACACTGGATCTTTACTGTAAAATATAGTAACTGTATTTGTACACAAACACGGCAGCCAATTTACTCACAGCAATGCCTCAAAATAGCCATGAAATTAATAATCAATTTTGTTGGGGAGGTGGGGGTGGGGAGAGTGGGAAAGAGAGGATTGTTGGCCAGAACACCGGGAGAAACTCTTCTCCTTTCTCTTTTTGAATTGTGATGTGGGATCTTCAATGTCCTTAGTTTAATGCTGCATCTAAAGGACTGCACTTCCATCAATGCAGCAACCCCCGAGCACTGCATTTGAATGTCATCTTAGACTATGAGTTCCAGGCACCAACCTTCTGACTCAAGAGGCGAGTGTGCTTCCAACTGAGCCAGGCTGATGCACAAACCATACACACTCACACACACATGCGCGCAAAAATTGAAATCAGCAGCAAACTGATGACCCTGAAGTTAGACAATTTTTACCCGTTGCTTAGTGTAAAAATTGAAAGCTCGGTTCAAAAGAAATGTCTTAAGGCAGGATTTAAAGCTGGGAAGGGACAAGGAATCGTGCCCAAAAACTTTCTTCCTGGTCTCAAAGCAGCAAGCTAAATGAGGCCCCTTAAATTTCCAGCAGCGATCAACATAATTTCCTGTAGCTGGCTGAACTCTCATCTGATTAAGGCACCGAGGCAGTTTTCCTATTGGTGGCCTATTCAAGTGCTTTGAGGTGTCCCTTTACAATGAAAGGCTTTTTATAAAAACAAGTTGTGATAAGGATCGTACCCTTCAAAAGGGTAATACGTTTGTGTTCAGAAATGAGGCAAATTCAGACTTCAGAAATTGCACCACCTATTGTTGTGGACTCCCCAACCACTGTATGTGGGGAGAGCCCACTGCACCGGCAGCTCTGTTATTGCAGAGCCACGTCTGTTTGAAGCAGCGCTGCCATATGTGCAGTATAAATAGAACATTGATGTGCTGCATTGCTTAAGTTACAGCTTCCTCTTCCCCAGACATTCCATTAGTCCTGATATTAGGAGTGTCTATTTATGCCACTTTTGCAGTTACTAGATGCCAGGATATACGTCAGGAGTATCACCTACAGAATTCAATTGGGACAAATAAGCTACGAGAACCCTTGTGGGCATTGTCTGCAGATTTCAACTCTCCAATTAACCAAAAAGGATGTTGTAATGCAATCTCTCCAGAAGGCTTCTGTGCTGCAAGATACTAGAGCTGTCATTCTTACTCAAACAATTCAATATTTCAGTGAACCTTGCCCAGTCCCTCTCCAGGCAAAGGCAATTTTTCAGTCACAAAAGTTGCTGAGTACTGCTCAATCTTGCAACAGAGAGGGAAATAAAATCAAACCACAAACATTCCTTAACATCACTATGAGTGCAGGAGTCAGATTTAAAATCAAGCTTAGGGGAGGTGAGAACACGTCCAGAATACAAAATGTTGTTAGAACGCAAGTTAGTTTAATCTTTGCCTTTTCTCTACCACCCGCCACCCCCCAAGAAAGTTCTCCATTGTCCTTGCTGTTTGGGTTACATGATTTAATACAATAAACTGAGGGTAGATTGGAGGGAATGTTTCTCCCCCTATATGGATTACACTGAGGCCATCATAAGATCACAAGACAAGTGCAGCTGCTGTTACAGATCTAGTAACAAGTACATTTCTCAACAGAACTGCATTTACTGTCTCGTCCTAGTCTCTCTGCAGGATTTAACTTCCACCTCCCTGAGAACTTAAAAGTTTTTGTCCAGGTATTTAATAAAACTCTGTTGGGTACTTGGAACAATTTTTTAAAAAAAATTACAAAAGCAAAATGATGCTCTTTATGGTATACCATCAGTTACAGAGGAATTCAACTTAAAAGTTGAACAAAAGATTAAACAAATATTTGATACTTCTGTGTCAGCTGCAACAAAACAATTTACACAGTACCTATCACATTGGGAAGGCATCTATGATATTCACAAGGCTGGTGGGGGGGGGTAAAGAGAAGGGAAACAGGTGGCCAAAGGAGGCAAGTTTTTAAAGTAGGGAAGGAGGGGGCAAGGATGGAGTTACAGCGGAACATGAAGCAGACTGCTTTTTGCTGAGGGAGCAGCTGAGGCAGTAACTGTTTTAAGAGGATGCAAAGGTAGGGTGAGACGAGGGAAGGGATTTGAAAGCGAAGACAAGGTACTAAAGTTCCAAATTCAAATTGAATTTGCACTACTCTTAATGCACTATATTAGTTAGTCTATAACACTCGACAATTGTAGATCTGCTCAATCAAGTTTGATAATTATGGTATTATGAGTTTTATAGTTAGTTCAGTGCTTCTTTCAGAAGTACCTGCAGCATTCTCATACAATTTGTCGTACAGAAATTGATTAATAGACTATATAAAATTAAATGCTTACATCTTCACTCCAGTCTTCAGCTACCCAATCTTCCATTGAATTCTTCCAGGCACCTAGAAAACACAAATAAGCACACAAAGATATAAAATTAATAGAAATGACTGGGGTGAAATGTTGCAAATTTTGAGAAGCATAAATTTTTTCAGTTAATATTTTCCTACCAGTTCCATCACAGTCATTTTGACCAGACTCCCACATTTCAGACTTTGTCCCATAACCATCATTTGTTGTAGAATCTGTGTAGTCTGCTGGGTTGAAGGTTCTGTACAGTTGAGATACACTAAGTGAATTCAAAAGGTATTTAAGGAATGATGCAAATTGAAGTGTTCCACGACAGACTGAAACATTTAGTTTTAATGAATTTTCAATACTAAAAACATATTTGCATAGTGATAAAGAGCAGCAATTCTCACAAATTCAATTTAATTCAATATAGTCTCTGCAAATATACAACATTAATACTTTTTTGGCGAGGGAGGGTGAGAAAGAGAAAGCAAAAAGGGTTCCTTGTGGCCAAAATGGCTCCAAGTTATGCGCTCAGCAAAGAAAGGCTGGGATTGAGTCTACCCTTGTGGAGATCTCGGTAATCTGGTTGCTGAACCAGGCAGCAAATACTCCAAGGCACTGCTGATGACAGAACAGACTGGCTGTTTGGCAGGACTTGGAGGGTAACCAGTCATTAGGGACAGGGATTCAGCCACAGTACTCTCAATGGCAAACTATGCATTTTTTTTAAAAAAAATGTTATACGCCAGCAGGACCCAAGCACCCTCTGGGGTCTCAAAGCCATAAGGGGCTTTCGCCAACCTACACCTAACACTCTCCAGAATTAGGTAAGCACAGCGAGGCCCTCCAGGAAGTTTCTACACATCTCAACCCCTAACTGACTAAAAAAAGTAGTAAAGATGTGCATGAATCTTTGTGCAATTTGGCTGATCCACAGTTTTAGAGGGATATGTTAAGAAACATTACCACAAGGTAGGATTTTTCTACCTTGAAAAGAGACATCTCAAAGGGATCATAAAGGTACTTAACAAAAAAATAAACCCTGGAACAATACATTATTTCAATACAGCAGGACAAAGAGTACATATTTTTAATTTGAAGGATAAGCTTAAGACAGACATCAAGTATTTTATCTAAAGCAATCAACAAATAAAAGGGAACTTTATTCCAGCAAACTTGAAAAGGCTTGACGCCACATTGAAACAACAATAGGCTTGATATCTAAACCGCTCTTGCATTCAGAGTAGACTTTGAAGTTAAGTGGTAGAATGCATTCGGGGGTGGGGGGGGGGGTGGAGGGAGGAGACCAAAACTTTGCTCTCCGGCTAGCTCCAACTGCAGTTTAAGAATCTTGCCAGTTCAGAATGATTCACTATTCGCATATCATACATTATTTAATTTTTTTACAAAAAGTCAGATGATCCATGCTGCAACTCTGATGCCGAGTTGAATACGCTGCAAATATGATATGAGTCTCCTATGTTTAAAAATGTGCTTAGCTACACATTTTGTTAGGCCCAATTTTTCATTATTGGCAATGTGCAAAACAAATGTGTTTTCTTCCCTGTGACACAGGCAGGCTTGCTCAAGTTTATTATCACAAACTTCCGAATGGGGAAAGATTCACTAAATGTGCAGCAAATTTCATGTCAGGACCATATATACTTCACAAGCACAAACTTTCTTTTCTAGTTCATGGGCATAATCTTTATTTTTAGTTAGTGTGGGAAAGTTATCTTATTTTTGAAAGTGATGTAATTCCACAATACTATAAGATGAACACAGCCCTAACTGGAATGATCAGAAGACTTCAACTCTATGAAACAGTCATAAAAATGTTGCAATAACCTAAAACTATATTAGGTTAAACAACCCAAATCTTCTGAAGCGCTGTCACTTTATACTGACTCGGTTACAAAATTGCACCAGGGTTTAAAACCGGCAGTGTGCCAACCAAGCTAAAATGTTTAAGGGGAGAATAAATCACTGAGTACTTTCAGGACAAAACTAATTAAGGTCTTATTTCCTTCCTCCCCTCCCCCACAAGTGGAGATCTAGCCTTTCAGGGTTCAGTTTGTGCTGGCACAACTCCAAAGATTTCCCAGCGTGGATCATGTGCTAACCAGAACTCCATGCAGTAATGACCACACTATTTGAAAGTAGTCCAGTTAACCCAAAGGCGCTCAATGCAAGAAAGTAATTGTTTGGTTACCGCCATACTATACTGAGCTGGTGCTAACATTTTCCAGTTTATCCACCTTAAGTTACAGCATAAGAAGCCATTTAACCCATCAAGCCCACTTGAGTGGTTTTTCCTTTAACCCAATCTGCAGTAGGGCATGAGCCACTTTGGGATGTTGTCCCTGAAAGTCTCATTTGTTCCTGCATAAAATAAACTTGAGGAATTTTTCTTCCTAAAATAAACTAGGATGGGGGAAAATGGGAAGGCAAGTACTTTACAATAATTAGTCCTGAAGTCATCTCCTTTTAGCAAGTTAGCAGATACCTTTTATCTTAACAAAAAGCATAAGGACACAATCATCTTTTCCCACACAATTAAATTAAACCAGTGTTGATTCATATAGAAAAAGGCAAGATTCCTTTCCTCTCCTAGAATTAGAATTTTAACGCAGCACAGTAAATTGAATATTCAACTGAAAAATCTTTAACAAGCCAATTGATCAGCAGTTTATCCCAATGCACCGACCTACGTACCTAACCTCGCTACCTAAGCTACACAATTCAAATTAGAGTCTCATTTAGATGCTTACCCCATGCCTTGTGCTGAAAATCTTCCTCCTCCTCTTCCTCGGCTCCGCCCACCAAGGCCTGCAATATTTTGAAAGTGTGTAATGTTAGGCATTTTTATATTTAAACATAATAATCCTTGCATTTGATGTAGCGCCTTATCACAAAGCGCTTCAGAATATATTGTATTAATTTTTTGAGGGATAATTACCCTCTGGGAATCAAACCCAGGTGCTTCCACTTTCGAGGTCCCACTATGCTATGGGACTGCAATTTTTTTAAAATTAATAACCTAAAGCACACAATTCCAAAAATTTATGACTATTTATTTTGTAGTGATCTATATATAATTCACCATGCTGAAACATGTAGGAAAATGATAGAGGTTTGAAAATGGTCTTGGTCCCTATTTTGATGGTCAGTGTTTATTACATTCATATGATTAAGCAAATATATTGCAAGTTAAAAACGGCCACTTTACTGGAATGAACAGTTCTTGAAGCAAATTTAACATTTTCCATTCTTCATATCACAGATCCATTCCTTCCACAGTGAACCGCACAGTTTACTTTGGCACAAAACGTTTTAACCAAAGTTAAAATTGCTTTGAAATAGATAAACACAACTTTTTGTACAATGATGATATTTCTACAGTGTTTGGTGTGAAAAATCAAGGTTCATTAAGAAAACAGATAAGAAAAAGCATATACAGCTGGCTCCATTTTAATCTGAATTTTTTTAAAAATTCTTACAACTGCAAGTTCTTTGTAACCCTGCCCCCCAGCCCCCAAAAAACAGTTTGGTTAACTGTCACCAGGTTCTGCATATTGTGCTTGTTTGTTAGACCCTCACACCATGTTATTCTCACTGAACTCATTGTTATCTGGTTTTCATTGTTTCTCGTCTCAAAGTAGAACATCTCATCTATACACATACACACACAGTGACTTGAATCCAAACATCCCTCATCGTGGAACAATGTAATATTTGGTAGAGTCTAGAAGTGTGTTAGCGTTTGCAACCTAAACTGAACTAGGCTTTTATCTTTTGGCAAATTACAACACAACAACAACAAGATTCCATTTATAAAGCGCCTTTCACGTCAGGAGGACGTCCCAAGGCGCTGGAATTACATTGGTGTCAGGTAGATTTAAAAGTGATAAGTAAAATAGATTCATTCTGTTCAGGATGACGTTCCCAAACCAATCTGCACCAAACACTCTTCAGAATTAAGCAAGGGTGTGGTGTGTCCCTCCATAGAAAGAGAGTGCATTCCAATTCAGACATAGGAAAATTCCCATGTGTAGGAATACATATGTGGAACTCTGTCTGGTTTGGAAACTCTTAAGCATGTGATGAGTTGCTTTATGTGATGAGATACCCAGCTGACCCCCAAAACATACATTAATTCAACATCTGTTTGCACTTTGGACAATAAACTCAGTCTCAGTTTCTTGCAGCACTGCTGAATTCAAAACTCCTGCAGGATACAAATCAGAATCGCTGTGAAGTGTTCAAGTTCTTAATGGGCAAGGTCTTGAAATGCAAATTAAAAAGAACGTTTGTGCAAATTTGTTAAAGATTACCAGTGAATGAATACAAGTGTTGTAGCAATCAGAATATTTTCATCATCAGTGCAGCTGGATTTCAACTGCAAGGTTATAAACTGAGATCTAGGATACACTGCCTGAGCAAATGTAAAAAGCTTCTGAAATTAGTCTAGGAATGTTTGCACTGGAGGAACACAAGTTGCAGGGGAAGTCTGTGGCTTGTGTTCAGAAGTCCGTGGCTTATTGTTTTTCATTCTTCTCCATATGAAACAAGGGCAGGAATGGGAGCTGAATATTTCTGGCTACAATGTATTCAGGAGGGATAGGGAGGGAAAAAAAGGATGGGGGTGCAATATTGATTAAAGACACAGTTACAGCCCTGGAAAGGGACAATGTGCTAGAGGGTCCAAAAACAGAATATTTGGTTACAGTTAAGTATCAGAAAAGAAGCTGTTACTCTGTTAGGCATATACTATAGACCACCAAATAGTGGGAAGGAGACAGACGGGAAAACCTGCAAGCAGATTGCAGAAAGTTGCAAAACTAAGTAATAATGGGGGACTTCAATTATCCTAACATAGACTGGATAAATAAGTGTAAAGGGCAAGGAGGGGGAAGGATTCCTGAAATATGTGCAGCATAACTTTCTGGATCAGTACGTTTTCAGTCCAACAAGGAAGGAAGCAGTGCTGGATCGAGTTCTGTGGAATGGAGTGGGGCAAATGGAGCAGGTTTCAGTAAGAGAGCTTCTGGACAACAGTGATCACAACATCATTAGGATTGGAGTACTTATGGAAAGGGACAAGGAAAAATCAAATGTGAAGATACTCAACTGGAAGAGGGCTAACTTCAGTGAGTTAAAAAGGGACCTAGCCAAGGTGGACAGGAAAGAAAGACTGGCAGATAAGATAGCTAACGAGCAATGGGAAGCTGTTAAGTAGGAGATAGTTCGGGGATAGAACAAATACATTCCCACAAAGGGAAAAGGTAGGGCATCCAAACCTCCATGGATGAATAATGAAATTGGGAATAAAATAAAACAGAAAAAAAGACTTGTGATAAATGTCAGGTCGAAAACACAGAACATAATCAAATAGAATATAGAAAGTACAGAAGAGAATTGAAAAAGAAAATAAGAGGGACAAAGATTGTATGAGAAAGGATTAGCGGGTAACATAACAAGGAACCCTAAGGTATTTTGTAAGCATATAAAGAATAAATGGTTAGCCAAAGGTAGGGTGGGCCCAATTAGGGACCAAAGAGAAAATCTTCTTGTGGAGGCAGAGGGTATGGCTGAAGTACTGAATGAGTACTTTGCATCTGTCTTCACAAAAGAAGCGGATGCAGCCAATGCCACAGTAATAATAATCCTTGCATTTGATATAGCGCTTTTCACGTCGGGAGGACGTCCCAAAGTGCTCCACAGAACACACTGTAAAGTGAATTGACTGTATATTTGTGGGCGAAGAGGGTAGAGAAATTGGATAAGATAAGAATAAACTGAGAGGAGGTACGAAAAAGATTGCCAGTGCTCAAGGTAGATAACTTACCCGGTACAGACGGAATGCATCCTAGGTTACTGAGGGAAGTAAGGGTGAAAATAACAGATGCTCTGGCCACAATTTTTCAATCCTCCTTGGACACAGAGGTGGTGCCAGAGGACTGGAGAGTTGAAAACGTTACGCTCCTGTACAAAAAGGGGCAGAAGGATAAACCCGGGAACTACAGGCCATTCAGCCTAACGTCAAAAGTGGGGAAACTTCTTGAGACTATAATCCGGGACAAAATAAGCTTTTTTGAAAAACATGGGATAATAAAGGTCAGGCAACACAGATTTGTTAAAGGCAAATCATGTCTAACAAACTTGATAAGAGTTTTTTGATGAAGTAACAGAGAGGGTGGATGAAGGTAGTGCAGTTGATGTAGTTCATATGGAATTTCAAAAGGCGTTTGTTAAAGTGCCACATAAGAGGATTGTAAGCAAAATGGAAGCCCATGGTATTAATAATAATAATCCTTGCATTTGATATAGCGCTTTTGACGTCTTCTAGACGTCCCAAAGCGCTTCACAGAATATACTGTAAAGTGAATTGACTGTATATTTGTGGGCGAACGCGGCAGCCAATTGCGCACAGCAATGTCCCACAAACAGTCATGGATTGAAAATGACCAATTTTTTATTGTTTTGTTTTTTGGAGGGATTATTATTAGGCTCTGTGTGGAGTAAGGAAACTTGCCCAAGGTTTCGCCCTCTGCCTAGAATTGAACTCTGGTCTCTCACTTACAAAGCGAGTGCTCTAACCACTGAGCTACAGAACTCCACAAGGACAGTGGCAGCATGGATACAGAACTGGCTGGGAGACAGTGTGTAGTGGTGACCTCCGGGTCAGTATTCAAACCACTAATGTTTTGGATCTATATAAATGACCTGGACTTGGGTATAGGGAGTACAATTTCCAAGTTTGCAGATGATATTAAGCTAGGAAAGTCGTAAACAATGAGGAGGATAGTAGCACTGCAAATGGACACAGACTGGTGAAATGGGCGGACAGGTGGCAGATGAAGTTTAATGTGGAGAAATGCAAAGTGATGCATTTTGGGAGGAAGAATGCGGAGAGGCAATATAAGCTGATGGTACAGTCTTAAAGGGGGAGAAGAACAGAGAGACCTGGGGGTTCATATAAGTAAATCTTTGAAGGTGGCTGGACAGATAGATAAGGCTGTTTAAAAAAGCATACTAGGCTTTATAAATAGGGGCATAGAATACAAAAGTCAGGAAGTTATGATGAACCTTTATAAACCACTGGTTAGGCCTCAGCGAGAGACTGTGTTCAGTTCTGGGCACCACACTTTAGGAAGGATGTCAAGGCATTGGAGAGGATGCAAAGGAGATTTACCAGGATGGTACCATTGTTAACAACAACAAGATTACATTTGTATTGTGCCTTTCACGTCAGGAGGACATCCCAAGGCGCAAATGGGAAAAATAAATGTTAAGCTCTCTGAGCAGCTACCCTGGGTGGAGGACGCTATATAAGTGTAAGTTGTCGCCTACACTCACGTCTTTGGGATCTCCTCCAGAGGTGAAAGGTGGGAGACAAATGTAAGTTGTTGTTGTCTCCATTACTCTTCCCCAGAAAAGGCTTCTAAAGTCAAGAATGGGAAGAAACTCAAACTCATCTTGGTATAACCCCAAAAATGTACTCTTCCAAAAATTAGAAATAAACACCATCAGCTTACGACGTTTTGTACTCTACTCCATAGCTCTCTCTTTCATTCAGCACATCCGCTGATAGATCCAAGAGAATTCAGAATAAATACTCAACTGGTCTCTTCCCGCTCGATTTTGGACGACAAAGATAATTGAATTTATTGTTGTCAAGAGCTTCAGCAATCCCCTTCCCCAGGCTGTCCACCCATTCACCTTAACCTAGTCTCTAAACTCACCTTCATGTCTCAAATGGTGGTGCACACAAAGACAATAAGCAATTTGCCTCCATAACAGGCACAAGCTGAAGTGAATTGAAAGCAGACATTCTGATTGACTTTCAATTATTCCCAACTAGACAAACAGAATTTGGCCAACTTTAAGGAATAGCAGCGAAATTTGCGATTAAGGGGCCTTGGGAGGGTCATTTTATAAATCTACTATTGGAAATTCTATTGGAAACACATTTGGGCTTTTTGGAAAGGGTATGAGAATGTTCATAATTATACAAGCCTTGTGTGAGATGCTTCAAATTAATGAACTACAGTACTAAATTACCTCGTTGACCCTGCCTATGGTCATCTCCCCCTCCCCAGCTTGGTTTCTCTATATAGCAGCTCGTGAAACTATCATACGAGAAGGGAGCTCTATAAATGAAAGTTGTTGTAAATTACATTTTCTGCTCCCTCCAAACAGGCATAAATCAGGAATAGATATTAAAATGGCTACTTATTTTTAAAAAAATCTAAATTCTCCAAAACTCAACATCCCCTGGTTATGAACCTACACAAGACTCCACCCACGAGTTTTCATATTGCGTTCAATGCAAATGAATAATGATAAATTCAGAACATGAGAAAATCATCTTTCAATGCATTTACATTTTCACAAATGACTATTGTAAAAATAGACTATTTTAAAAATACAAAATACAAAAACATTGCAGCAAAATAAATAAGCATTTTGCTTGTGATCTTCCCAGTCTCACCTCTGCCTCGTCCACGTCTCCCTCGTTCCAAAAGTCGATCACCTGGACCAACATCCACTCCATTTTCCTCAGCCCGGACTGCAATTAAAAAATAGTAAATGATTTTTTGCCACTAACCACCTCCACTCCACTCCCCACGGCATGGAACAGTGTGGTACAGACCCAAAGAGGCTAGTGGCTCACAATCACCTTACACGGATGGATGGCTTTCGTGAACACCTTTAACAGTTAGTGTGCACAAGCCATTCAACTGTAATGGGTAACACAATCAAATCTAAATCCATGCCAGATATCCACATGAACAAACTTACCAGGGGTTTGGGGAAGTGGGGGCTAAAAGAGGTGTAAAAAAGAAAGAAGGCGATGCCACTGGTGGATATCAGGTGTGGAAACTAACTGATTTTTTTCCACCATATCTCAGGGGATGCTGTAGCCAATTATACCCATTGGCATCACTCTACCAGCCAACACTGGCAAACTCAACCAGATCAGGCTTTCAACTTGGGCACTTCCATATTAAAATATAGAAATTGACTTAGACACTACACGTTTACTCAAATGTATTTGGCAGCTGCATTGGGTAAGTTGAAAAGTTCAGTGAACAAAATAGCTTAGTATTAAAAATATCTAATTGTTTACTTATATAATAATCCTTGCATTTGATGTCGCACTTTTCATGTCTTCTAGACGTCTCAAAGTGCTTCACAGAATATACTGTAAAGTGAATTGACTGTATATTTTGGTGGGCGAAATGCGGCAGCCAATTGCCCACAAACAGTCATGGATTGAGTGACCAAATTATTATTGTTTCTTTTTCTTGAGGGATTATTGTCAGGGATGGAGAGTAAGGAAACTTGGCCAAGGCTTTACCCTGCTGGGAATCAAACCCAGGTCTCTCACTTGAGTGCTCTTACCACTGAGCAACAGGCCTCCTACAGGACGACTTACATTCCTTGCCACGATTCCCTTTCCCTCGCCTAGAGGAGCTGCCTCGACCTCGGCTTGCTTCTCGATCACCACGCTTCTCTCGATTTTCCTTATTTTCCAAGAGGCTGTCTTTCCCTGTTCCAAGATTTTTCTTCTTGCCCACAGTCTCCCAGGAGGTCTGCGTAAAACACTAGATTAGTTCCTGTAATCTGCCAACCATTTTGTGCCAGGTGTCAAAAGAAGTAGTTACACTGAACAGATCAACAACGTGCGTTTATGCAGCATCCTTCATGTAGGATAATGTCTCAGAGCGCTTCACGGTGCAGAGTTGCATGGTAGGTTTTAAACTGGGATTTGAAGATAGAAAGGGCGAGGCAGAGAGTTCCAGAGGTTGGGAGGTGTAATGACTGAAGGCTTGGCCACCAACAGTAGCATGGATGTGCAGGAGGCCTATGTCAGCTAAGTGTAGGTGGTAAGCAGAGGAGTGGGCTATGATCAGAGACCGGATCAGAGATAAGGAGGTACTAAGATGCGAGGGGAATGGTATGCAAGGATTAGGACCGTACAGTTGATCTGTTCAGCGACAGTGAGCCAATGGAGCCTGCGTGCATTTGGTGCAGGTGAGGATGTAGGCAATGGCAATTTGGATGAGGTGGACCTTGTGGATGGTGGAATTGGTGAGACCAGGAAGGAGTGCATTTGAGTAGTCAAGGCAGAAGTCGCCAAAATCATGCATGACGGTTTCAGAGACATTTGGTGCGAAGTAGGGGCGAAGGAGGGTGATAAAGTGATAAATACACGTGATGGCTATAGTTTTTAACCAGGAAATGGAAACATTGCATGATGGTAACATGCTCATATTAAGTTATTATTTTATCAGTCCTATAGGGTAAGAATCACATTACTGCTTAAAAAAAGCATCCTCTTACTGAGAAGACCTTAAAAGCAAAAATTCCCCCAACCCTAACCTGCTTTGAAAGACCAAAATGCTTTGTTCCATACCGTGTCTGAGTTTCCTTCTAGAAGTACATTGATGGCTCTGTTCACATCACCATTGCAGTCGTGAAGTGCCACTATGCTTTCATCCTGGTTCTTTCCTGTAACTTCCATCAGCTAGACAGAAAAGTAAAAACAAAACAGGTTTAAGCTACTGAAAAAACACTGGACAATCGATAGTCTTAAAAAAACTCACGTTTCAACAAGAGGTAAAAAAAACTATGCTTTAGAAAATAGCAAATATCCCCAAAAGTTTTACTCACTTGTTTGACCTTGTCTTCAAAATCTGTATCATTCTTATCATAAATCATTTGGGCTAGACGGATCTGTTCAGCTGTGGCCTAAAGAAACAGTAAAAATTGTATTTGTTTTAAGAAATGTGGTGCCCAAGCTATCATCTGGTGCTTTGAGATGTCCTCCCAACATAAATCAGTGGTGGCCAATCTTGATGGTCAGCCATGAATCTCAATCAAGTGAACTGAAAACACACTAATGATCAAACAAACACAGACCCACTTACTCGTGCAAATGTTCGGTGGGGGAGGAGAGGCTTCTCCACTGCCCTGGGGACCACTTCTGGCCCACGGGCCACATGTTGCCCACCACTGAGCTAATTAAATATTAATTGTCTATTACAGCACAGGGCTGATCCTCTCTGCCTTCCCCCACCCCCGCAACGTCACCCAGCTCTGCCACTGTCTCACACCACAGGCCGCCAAAACCCTAATACATGCTTTCATTACATCGAGGCTCGACTATGGAAACTCACTGCTTGTCGGCCTCCCCAATTCCTCTCTCCCCAGGCTGCAGATCATCCAGAACTCTGCAGCCCATGTCCTCTCCCGCACTAGACTCCGCGACCCTATCACCCCCATCCTTGCCCAACTCCGCTGGCTTCCCATCACACAGAGGATACAGTTCAAGAAAATGGTCCTCACCTTCAAAGTCTTGCTCCCCCCATCCTGTTCGCTCCCTCCGCTCAGCAGGCTCCGGCCTGCTTCACGTGCCCTGCCCTGCTCGCCTCACTATTGGCGGGCGGGCCTTCCGCCACTCTGCCCCCACCCTTTGGAACTCCATCCCACAGTCCCTCCACCTCACCTCCTCCCTCACCAACTTCAAGACCCATTTCAAGACCCTCCTCTTTGATCGTGCTTTCAATCTCCCTGCTTCCCCCCCCTGCCCTCCACTCGCCCCCACCCCCAGCTTGGGTCCGTAACGCTGTCTGTCCAGCACCTTGGGATGTCCTCCTGACGTGAAAGGCGCTTTATAAATGTAATTTTATTGTTGAAACTTTTTACAAAGCCTAGCTAGGCATTGGGATTGCTCATGCAGGATTTCACAATGATTTTAGAAACCAACAAAAACCTTTTAAAACCGAGAAACACTCACTCCCAATTTTGCTTTGAGCCCTGAAAATATCTGTTCTTCTCATTATTGATATACATGATGTGTGCTGAGCTCATTGTGATTCATAATTGATTCTGCCCATCAAGGATTTTTCTAATCTATCGCTACAATTTGGCTCAGTTAATAAAGTAACTTTCCAACGTGAAAATGAGGCACACAAACCAGGAAAATCCCAGTTTCATTCTTTGTGCTGATCTCAGCTGGGGTAGACCAGTGATGTGACAATTGGTCTCAAGGTCAACACATTTTGCAAGGGAGGGAGAGGGTAAAATTATCCAGGTTTCCTTAAGCATCTTTGAACAGAATTAAGCTCTGTCCTGGTGTGTTACCAAAGGTCAAATAGGCTGTTGAAACTCTGTCAAAAGATGGAAGGTTATTTGGGCATGACAACGCTCCCTGACCAATGTCTGTGGAATCATATCCAAGCACAAGTCAGCACCTTCAGAATACTGATTACTGTTACTATTGTAATGTTAAGTCTGCATTTAATAATATACCTGCCCTTGCAGAAACGAGGTGCAAAGATTAGCAAATAGTACCATATCTATACATAATAAAATGAAGGAAATCCATCTTAAGCATTGGTATTTGATTTTAACTCACTGACGTCCATTTGATTCTGTGGGGTTCAGCAGCTTAAAATCATTAAAAAGGAACTGTTCTAGTGGATGATGGTGCACAGGTTAATGTCAATAGTTGCACTACTTGGAAACCCAAAAATACAGATATCTACAAAGACTGCTACAAACTAATAGGAGTCCCTTGTTTCATCAGTCGATTCAGGAACTATTCCAGGGAATTTCACTAATGTGCAGAAGTGGGACCCCATTGAAATGGCCTATGCTCATCAGAAAATTAATGCATTGCCCTTGCTTGTTTTCACCCGCATCCAATCCCATCGCAACTTCAATATTAACTGAAAGGGAGAAATTGGATTTGAGGTAACTTTACTAAGACAATCTGCAATGCAGCCAAGTCAATATCAGCAGTGTCTGACCCCTGTCGGGCCTATGAAATCTAGTTGTTACCTAGTCCAAATATACGGCTTCTAAAAATTAGCCCCATTTTCAAATTGTATGGGTAGAAGCCAGAAAATGGAAAAGGTTTTATATTTTATTTTAAATGGACAGAAAAAGGAAAGGGACAAAAGCACAATATCTCAGTCTCCGTGAGGTTAAACAGAAAGGTCTCAATAAACCAATACACTACTGACAGTGACTGGCCACCTGACTCGGCCATGAGATTTGGAGTCATAGACATTTAGTGATGAGGACAACACTATAGGCCAAAACCCTTAGGGGAAAACAGTTGTATATGAAACATTTTGCAGAAAGGCAACATAGAAAATCCTTCCTGATGCATCAATAGAAGCATAAAAATGTGTAGCATGGAAGGAATCTATTCAGCCCATTGTACCTGTGCTGGCTCTCTGAAAAACAACTGGTTAGTCACATTCTGCTACCTTTTCCTCATAAGAGTTCTTCTTTAAAGATTTTCGTTTAACTCCCTCTTAAAAGCTTACACAGATTCAGTACGAACCACCATTCAAAGTATTGTACGTAATAATAATCCGTACAATTTGTTATAGCACCTTATCTATAAGGCGTGATAAGGCACTATATCAAATGCAAGCATTAGTATTATTATCACATCGTCAAGTCTCAAAGTGCTTCACAGAATATACTGTAAAGTGTATTGACTGTATATTTTGTGGACGAAACACGGCAGCCGATTGAGCACAGTAATTGACTGCATCCTTCTGGCCGAGCTTTCGGACAAGGATTGAGTGACAAAATTATCATTTATTTTTGAAGGGATTATTACCCCCAGAAAAGCGATCCACCAATCAATTAACAACTGGGTTCCTACTTACTGCTTGGTAAACAGAGGCCTGTAGAGTAAGGAAACTTGCCTAGTGTTTCGCCCTGACAACTCTCTTTAAAAAAGCTGCTATTAAATGTCATGGTTACACAAACATTTGAAGATTAAAGGTTATCAATTGCTGGTGGGGTCCCAGTTACCAAATTCCTGTGCACACAGCAATGTATTCTGCCCAGGAACAGCTCTCCCGAGAACCACTGGTTTAGATTAGTTTTATTGGCACATGTCAGGATTCGACTTCATAAAGTTGGCATCTTTCCCGTCGGTTACAATCCGAACAGCTACGAGTCAGCACTACAATTGCAAGGTTGTAATTTACAATATATGGACTTGTATCAAAATGTTCCAATCAGGCAGGAACTGTCCCTGCAAGTAACGAACACATTTCAATATTTTTTTCCAGTGCTAGTCCAAAATGGTTGTATTTAGAAGATAAATTAATCATTCTGCAGAGTTCTTACTTTGCCTTTCAATAACAATTTACATTGCACACCTCACATCAGGACATCTCAACACACTTCACACAGCTGATTGGGCATCAGAGCTGGAGGTGGGGTAAGAATGGGTGTAAGTTCACTCACCAATGGTGGGACAGATCAAGTGCTGACATGAACGGCTCTGCTGTCAGCTAAGTGGAAGTAGGGTTTGCAGGAAATCATAATGGTAGGGTGGGGTTAGGCCCCAGAGGGATTTGCTGAATGGGAAGTGAAACACATGAAAAGGCTGCGCTAAAATTGTTAGTTTTCTCTTAGTTTATAGGTTTACAAGCACAAGTTGAGGATTCAACCACCAAAGCCTAGACTGGCACTCCAGCGCAGGACTTATGGGAATGCTGCATTGTCTGAGGAATCTTCATTCAAATTTGATGTTAAAACCAAGGTTCGGTCTGTTTATTCTGCTGGACATTGAAGACCACACTGCACTATTCAAAACAAGTAAGAAGTTTTGCTCAGTTACTTAGACAACAATCCTCCAGAAATATTGGTCATTCACGATAGTGAGAGGCGCGAAGGAGTATGGGGAGAAGGCAAGCACTGGGATTAAAGAGCAGGTGGTCAGAGAGCTGGTGCAGATTCCTTCTGTGCTGTAAATTCCTGCTTCATGGTCTTGATGTATACAAATTGGTTGCTGCGTTTCCCTACAAATACACCACTCAAAAGTAATTAACCATGAAGCGTTTTTGCGATGTTTCAACATCATACTAGTCGGTCGAAGAGGAAGGTCTTCAGGAGGAAAAGGAGGTAATAACTGAACTACTGCTTTCAGTAACGTACCTGAACTGGCTTCTGTAACTGTGTGTGCGTTTGAATCTGTGTCTTGTCTCGAGTTCCCCGAGATCGGTCACTGCCCACCGAAGTCATCATATACAGTATATACAAAACAATGTATGTACAAAATAGAAAATCTGAAAGAGAAAGACAGTTATTTTAAAAACGGAGAATCGTAGTTCTAATTATCTGAATGTGAAAAACTTCCAAGTTTTTTTTGTACAGCACTATAATGGCTGCATCGCTATCATTTTGTCAAAAGGCACTTGACCAGTACGACCAGAGGTGAGGTAATATCAATTCAATACAAAATTCTTCGTCTCCTATCTTAAAATGTCGCTTTTGAATAATATAACTGGCATTCCAATGTCGCCACAAACTAAAAAAATGTCTGAAACATTTGCAAATAAAGAACAGTTTTACAAATAATAACAATTGTAGCATCTGTAAACACCTACAATCAATGTTAGGCAAACATGTTTCCACTCTTGACACCAGTCAGTCTGCCTAGCATTTGAACTATTTTGCATACTTCATATCTTAAACCCAAGCACGCACTTAAGAGCAAGGAAGCCTGAATGGCAATGACAGCTCATTCGGTGGTGATCCTGATTGTGGGAAAAAGCTCAGAAAGTACAGGTCCACTCATGTGAGAAATGATACCCATTTACACTGCCAATATTGAAATAATGGGTAAAAAAAACAGTCTAGCATACATGAAGGTCTACACCGTCATGTTTGCTCTGCAGTAAAGTCCAGACTCGCCAGATAAGCCAGTTTGAGACAGAGCTGAATTTTAAGACGTCAGTAAAGATCTTGCACAAGTTATTTGGCAAAAACAAGCAAAAGAATCTGCAGTGCAACAAAAATGAAGTAATAAGTTTGGCACTCATCTACTATCCCTGCAGAACTCTAAACATTCTCCCAGAAATGCAGTATTGCCTGGCACCAGGGATTATTCATTCGGGTTCAGTAACTCTCGGAGTAAATAAAACCCCGAATAAAGCAGAAATGGCCTTCTCTCAAGTTCCAGGTCAAAAGGGGCACGATGTATCATGCATTCACCATGACATCTAAAGTTCTAAAAGTTTTCCCAGTAACAGACTGATGAAATTAATTTCACAATGAAATGTCATTCTCCATTAAGGTGACAAATCTAAACTTCAGGGAAAATAAATCCTCCTTACATTTTGTATGTAACAGTCAAACTACCAAGATATTTAGCAATAAACTTCTCGCAAGAGAACCCAAGAACAGATCAGCCTGAATCATTTACAACACCAGACGTTCTCCTGGCCTCTTAACAAAACTACTAAATTATTAGCCGTTTGGCAGCATGGGAACAAACCCACAGAGGGACTATTTCATAAAATTGTCGAGGACTTCACTGAGTTAGGTTCATGTGTACTGACTTTTTTTGCAGGCAAACAAATAGCCATTTTGCGTGCATCAAAGTCCTACAAACAGCTATGAAGTGAATGAAAAATTTAACTGGAGAATTGATGGCCAGGATATTAGGAGGAACTCCCTTTTCTTTCCGAATCAAACCAACGTGGGCATGATCTTTAAAATCAAAAATATGTCAGGTAACATCAAAAAAAAACTAAGTTAAAAGTTATTTTTAAATGCAGAATCAGCAGAAATTTGTCAAATCCAACATCCATTCTGCCAGCTCTGAAAACCACTGTAAGCTTAGACATTTACATAGGCAGCAGGTGAAGAAATGGTAATTACTTCAAACTGCGCTTCACCTTAAGATGAGCTCAAGAATATTGAGTTTATTACAATTAATCATTTTTAAGAACAGCATACCTTTTCCTACAGTACTTCATTGACCAAACAAAAACAAAATTAGTTTCCAGAGTATTGCTGAAACAAGTCACTAGGTGTATAACTGAAATCTATTCATGGCTTTCAACTGGCTCGCCCATCCTTGTAAACCAGACTATTGTGCAGCGTAAAGGTCCTTCTGCTGAATCGCTGATTGCAGACGTCCCATCAAAGAGCTGAGGAAGAAACACTGAATACTGGGCCGAAATTACTGAAAGACCCTAGAGTCTGGGTTTGTGAACCACACGTGCATATATCCAGCACTTGAAATCTCCTCAATTGGTCAGCAGGGATGTAAGAAGCTGGAGTCTGTAGCTTAGTGGTTAGAGCATCTCATCCTCACCTACAAGGCCATTCACGGCCTTGCTCCCTCCTACCTCTCCAACCTACTATCCCCCTACCTACCTGCCCGTACCCTCCGTTCCTCTGGCTCCGGTCTGCTCCACGTCCCCCGCCCCAACCGCCCTACCATCGGTGGTCGGGCCTTCAGCCTCTCAGCCCCCAGGCTCTGGAACTCCATCCCCCAGTGCCTTCGCCTTGCTTCCTCCCTGTCCTCCTTCAAGGCCGGTCTCAAAACCTTTCTCTTTGACCGTGCCTTCAGCTCCCTCTCGACTCTCTTCCCCTCCTCGCTCCTCCCTTCCCTCCCCTCACCCTGACCATTTCCCCCCTGCTCGGGTCATGACCCAACTGTGCAGCGCCTTGGGACGTCCTCCTGACGTGAAAGGCGCTTTATAAATGGAATCTTGTTGTTGTTGTTGTTGTTGTAGAGCACTCGCTTTGCAAGCGAGAGACCTGAGTTCAATTCCAGGCAGAGGGCGAAACCTTGGGCAAGTTTCCTTACTCCACACGCCTAATAATAATCCCTCCAAAACCAAAAACAATAATAAATTGGTCAGTTTCAATCTACGACTGTTTGTGGGACATTGCTGTGCGCAATTGGCTGCCGCGTTCGCCCACAAATATACAGTCAATTCACTTTACAGTGTGTTCTGTGAAGCGCTTTGGGACGTCCTCCCGACGTGAAGAGTGCTATATCAAATGCAAGGATTATTATTATTATAAGAAGCTGCTGCTTAAGTTTCACCACTCCAACTGAAGGAATCATCGCTCAATGGTTCAAGATGTGATCTGAGCTGCGGGCAGGAAAATGGTGGAAATTCTCAGGTATTTCATGCTCAGTTGTGCAGCTCACCAAGAAGCTCACAAAGTTTCTGGTATCTTCCATTCACCATGTGATGGCTCAAACCTGTACTTGTCAAGCATCAAAATCCAACCATTGACTATCCTCCGTGGGGGGTGGGGGGGAATGGAAGGTAAACTTCTTGGAGCTGAACTGGCTCCAAGGTGACACGCTTGGCAATGGAATGTTGGAATCGAGGCAGCCTTAATAATAATAATCCCTGCATTTGATATAGCGCCTCATCACGTCTTCGAGACGTCTCAAAGCACTTCATAGAATATAGAGTAAAGTGAATTGACTGAATATTTAGTGGGCAAAACGCGGCAGCCAATTGCGCACAGCAGTGTCCCACAAACGTGGATTGAAGTGACCAATTTATTATTTTTTTGAAGGAATTATTTCCTGTGGAAAAGCAATCTGCCAATCGACTAACATTCGGGTTCCTACTTACTGCTAGGTAAACAGGCATGTGGAGTAAGGAAACTTGCCCAAAGTTTCGTCCTGCAAGGAATCTAACCCAGGTCTCTCGCTTGCTCCCCCCTACCTCTGCGATCTCCCCATCCTTTATCAACCTGCCCGCTCCATCCACTTAGCAGGCTCTGACTTGCTTCACATCCCCTGCTTCGCCCATCCCACCATTGGCGGGTAGGCCTTCAGCCATTCTGCCCCCACCTTTTGGAACTCCATCGCACACTCCCTCCACTTCGTCCCTTCCCTCCTTCAAGACCCGTCTCAAGACCCTTCTTTGATCATGCCTTTGAGCACTCTCCTCCCCCCCCATTGCCCTCCACCCTCCCCGACCCCATCTCGAGTCCGAAACACAGAATGTCTAGCATCTTGGGACGTCCTCCTGACGTGAGAGGCGCTATACATAAGTCATTTTGTTGTTGCGAGGTGAATGCTCTAACCACTGAGCTACAGGACTCCACTGGGGATCTCCAGGATTCAAAATGTGGTCTTGGTAGATTCCTGAGTTTGTTGGGTCTGCAGGACTCCAGGGCACTGCTAATGACAGACCAGCCAGCCTAGCTTCATCAGCAGAACTTGGAGAGGCAGACCAGTCACTAGGACAAGCCAAAGCCCTAACGGGTAAGGTGGTCCAAGATGGACAAAGGAGTCTGAAGCTTTCCATAAAGTGCTTTCAATGACAAGCTGTACGGTTTTAGATGGTTGAACTCCATGCTCTAGGGTCCCCAAGGGCTAGCTCTGGCCAACCTGCACCCAATACTGTCTGGAATTAAGTAAGCAGGGTGCATCCCTCCAGGGAGAATGCGGATTCCATTCCAGACAGGAATTTTCATGTGTAGATGGCATACATGGGACTCAAGACGCTTAAGCACAGTGATGGATTTCTGCATGGATCAAGACAGTCAGCTGAAAATAAAAATAAAAACAGAGAATACAAACTCTTCAATCTTTAGACCACTCTGCACCAAACTACAGCAAGTTGCCAGATAAAATAAAACGTAGGTTGTATTGGCAAAGCTTTTAATCCACCTTCTGACATATGCAAACCTAAAATATGCAACTTGTACTGTAAGAATACAGCAGAATAAACAACAACATTACATGTGTATAGCGCATTTCACATTGGGAGGACGTCCCAAGGTGCTGGACAGGCAGATTTTCTGACCCGAGCTGGGTGTTAGGATCAGGGAGGGTGGTGGTTGGAAGCAGGGAGATCGAAAGCACGGTCGAAGAGGAGGGTCTTGAGATGGGTCTTGAAGGAGGCAAGGGAGGGGGCAAGGCGGAGGGACTGTAGGATGTAGTTCCAGAGGGTGGGGGCAGAGTGGCTGAAGGCCCGCCCGCCAATAGTGGGGCGAGCGAGGCAGGAGACGTGAAGCATATCAGAGCCCGCTGAGCAGAGGGAGTGAGCAGGATGGTTGGGGGTTAGGATGTCGCAGAGGTGGGGGGGGGGAACAAGACCATGGAGGGCTTTGAAGGTGAGAATCAGGATCTTGAACTGTATCCTCTGTGTGAGGGGAAGCCAGTGGAGTTGGGCAAGGATGGGGTGATAGGGTCACGGAGCCTGGTGCAGGAGAGGATACGGGCTGCAGAGTTCTGGATGATCTGCAGCCTATGGAGGTAGGAGTTGGGGAGGCCGACAAGCAGTGAGTTTGAATAGTC